CCTGGGGAAGATATAGAGTAACAAACTGCCACACTACCCTAGGAGTGGGGATTCCCTTAGCTGAAAGTCACTCTGCTCTGGGGATGATATAGAGTAACAAACTGCCACACTGCCCTAGGGGTGGGGATTCCCTTAGCTGAAAGTCACTCTGCCCTAGGGATGATATAGAGTAACAAAGTGCCACACTACCCTAGGGGTGGGGATTCTCTTAGCTGAAAGTCACTCTGCCCTGGGGATGATATAGAGAAACAAACTGCCACACTTCCCTAGGGGTGGGGATTCCCTTAGCTGAAAGTCACTCTGCCCTAGGGATGATATAGAGTAACAAACTGCCTCACTACCCTAGGGGTGGGGATTCTCTTAGCTAAATATCACTCTGTCCTGGGGATGATATAGAGTAACAAACTGCCACACTTCCCTAGGGGTGGGGATTCCCTTAGCTGAAAGTCACTCTGCCCTAGGGATGATATAGAGTAACAAACTGCCACACTACCCTAGGGGTGGGGATTCTCTTAGCTGAAAGTCACTCTGCCCTGGGGATGATATAGAGAAACAAACTGCCACACTTCCCTAGGGGTGGGGATTCCCTTAGCTGAAAGTCACTCTGCCCTAGGGATGATATAGAGTAACAAACTGCCACACTACCCTAGGGGTGGGGATTCCCTTAGCTAGATATCACTCTGCCCTGGCATAGTCACTGTGACACAATGACACGACCCAGAGGTGGGACAGAGTGACATAGTCACTGTGACACAATGACATGCCCCAGAGGTGGGACAGAGTGACATAGTCACTGCGACACAATGACACGACCCAGAGGGGGGACAGAGTGACATAGTCACTGTGACACAATGACACGACCCAGAGGTGGGACAGGGTGACAGAGTGACATAGTCACTGCGACATAGTCACTGCGACACAATGACACGACCCAGAGGTGGGACAGAGTGACATAGTCACTGTGACCCAGACATTCGGGCACACAATGACACGAGGGAGAGGTTGGACAGAGATACAAAGTTGGTATGCCTCAGGGTGTGGACAGTAACGAAATTGCTATGCCCAAGGGATGGGACAGAATATGAAGCTTATCACTCCGCCCCAGGGGTGGGGTATAGCAACAAAGTCATACTGCCCCAGGGGTGGAGCACAGCAACAAAGTCACACTGCCCCTGGGGTGGGGCAGCATAACAAACAGCACCAATAATTAGGTTGAATACACACAGAATAAGAAACACATCATGTATAAATCATACAAGGGACATCTCATATAAAAGTATAAAAATATAGTGTTAGGTCAGTAAGGAGATTGAACACCTCCGTTACATAGGTCACACACCGCCAAGAAAGGCAGTGGATACACGCTGTAGGCAAAAAAACAATGGCAACTGGATAATAAATTATTCCAGTCTTTGGGAGGAAACAGAAGGCTCAGATCGAAACCTGTTATGAGAAAAGTCAGCAAGAAAAATAACTGAACACAGAATGCTGGCATAATAACACAAGTGTCATTACCGCTTAACTTTCACTCTTAATAGATACCTGTGTTTGAAGTTCTTTGAGAGTGAGGAAAAGTAAATTAGTTTCTCCATAACATGTGTATGTTCAAAATCACATTGGTAACTTACTTATCATTATTATAGCAAACACACATCTGCTATGAACACCCTCCCGCCCCTGTAAAAAAAAATGGTAGAAAAAATATGAAAATACTATTTTCAGTATTGCAGAAGAATTACCATGTTACTACAGATGAAAAATACATATTAAACACACTGTATAACAGTTAAAACATTGCACAGGGACTTGTAGCAAATGTCACTCCCATGTATATAAATCACATATATTAAATGTGTAAAGGTAGGGATATTGTTACAAAACCCTGTGCTACCACAATTTCATTAAATCCTGCACTAGACAACATCATACAAACACAGATATAGTGTACTTGGTATCACATGCAGAGTTGTAAGTGTCTTTCCTTGCTTAAAACATGAAAAAGTTCAAAGAACCCGTAACTAAAATGTCTTACACTCTTCATGGCGATCAGCACGCCTGCATAAAGACTTCTTCCTCACAAAAACCTACCACAAGAGCAAAGTATAGCAACACAGACGACCAGTCAAGCTTTACTATATCCACCGGCAGTAGGACCATGCCTGGTAATAAGACCACCCTTCCTTTTTTTCTTTCCTTTTCTTTTCTAGCATAATAAACATCCCAATTTTTAATTCTGGCCCCTCGGCTCATTACCGGACTACAATTCTAAACGGTTAAGATTTCAGATATACTATTTTTTTTTTTTTTATCAAAGCTGGATTTATCTGCTGACAATGTTATCATATCAATAGAAGTTCACAACATCAGTTGAATTAACATTTCAATGAAATAAATTTCTTTGGAACACATTCTTGGAATTTCAACATAGCTATAGCTTTATACACCTGGTAAACATAGCTATAGCTTTATACACCTGGTAAACACGTGCTCTGGGGAGTATATTGACCAGCACTATCTCAGGTATTATCTAAAGCCCGACTCGAATACACACACATTTCATCACATAACCTTATTGTAATGTAGGGAATATTTAGCATTTTACTTTGGAATATGGGATATAAATCATGTCTTAAGATTGGATGACATTTTTAGCAAGATAAGAGGCATCACAATGTCTCAAGATAAGAGACATCACAATGTCCAATGTCTCAAGATAAGAGACATCACAATGTCTCAAGATTGAGAGACTTCAAAAGCCTCATGATTGAGAAACATGAAATTTCTCCATATTGGGAGACAATCTCTAAATATTAAATTGCTTCAAGCATCTAGAGATTAAGCAACATCAAAAGTGTCTCCAGATTAGTTTCATAATGATTCAAGATCGAAAGGCGTCACCTGTGATGCATAACAAGTTTTAGAGTCAAAGATGTTAAATTTTTACAAATTAAGTTCAACACTTTTCCAAAATCAGACAATAAGTTGGGAAGTGAGTCCTACAGGTAATGCTTGCACATTTTCACCAAGCAGCATTTCATTCTTACTTCTGTTACTATAAGGTAAGCAAGTTACAAAAGTAGGAAAGTATAAAATTCTAATACACAGTAAAGAATCCTTACCATGTAACTACTCCAGACACAGAAAATCCTCCATTGAAACAAACACACATATCACCTGTGTACAGGTATGACAAACACACATATCACCTAACTCCCTCTCACCTGTGTACAGGTGTGACACACACACATATCACGTAACTCCCTCTCACCTGTGTACAGGTATGACAAACACACATATCACCTAACTCCCTCTCACCTGTGTACAGGTATGACAAACACACCTCTTCCAAGTGCTGTCAAATTCTGGAGTTAGCTCCCCTTAAATATTTACGTAAATTTTACAGCTACGGTTAAATACTTATAATCTAGCTGTTTGAACTAATTCAAGACTTGACTGTAAACAATATAAATATTGATTATTTATAAGCACATTTAAAATGTAATGCTTGCTTTTATGGACAAAGAACTAATTATTCGGATGATTTTTTTTATAAGTGATTGTCTTAAATTGATGGAGTTGTCTTGTAATATACACTTAAATGTGTTAAAAGCTAGTTGAATAAAGATGAATTACCCTGTAGTTATGGAATGAACGGTCTACAGACTGGGTAAAGGAAAGAGGAAGTTCTCTCCTTCACCACCCTCTCTACAAAGTAGCATTACCAGTACCATGTCTGGAATGAATAGTCCCCCGAATGGGGGAACTCAAGGATGACATAGAATTTCCTAATCCCCCCAACCTCTTTAACTAAGGTGTTAGAAATAGAGCTGCCTTTTATATTCATCCATTCAAAAACAGATGTTTAGAAGAGTGTAGTTTTCAAAAAGGTTATCCTTGAGTATATCTTAATGAAGGATTTCTTTACTTTTTTAAAACACAAAACGCTTTCATGGGTCAGTGATGAAAAAAAAATCATTTTCACAAATGGATAGAAGTGAGGCTGTAATCTTTTGGTCATTATGTTATAACAGAGTAAGCTTCTTTAACTCATTGACCCCTGAAGACTCATTTGGACTCTTCCAATTCAAAGGTTGGAATAGTTCATTCTGAAATTTCAGGGGTGAATGAGTTAATGAATGATCAAATGCACACTTAACTGGTATATCTTTTGTCTGTGTAAATTCAACCTCCAAGCAGAGAAACAATATACTTCATTAGGAACTATGTTAAAGATATTATCATATTCTTATAACACAGTCTATTTAATTTTTGTATGTCATACAAAAACTTTGAAAAGACAGAAATTAATCTGTTTCTAAATACCTTCTTTACCTGTCTTAGATACAACACAAAACTGTATTCAACAAATCTTAGGTAGACTTGACTCAACAAAAAGTGTGACCTTGACCCTGATTGACCTTGACCTTAAAGGGTCACAGGTCTTGAACACATAGCAAAGTTTGACATTAAGACAAATTTTCAATACACAAATAAATAAAAAATAGTAAAGCTTTAGCACAAAATTAAATTAGGATTATAACAAACACATTTTTATCATTAATTCAAAGACAAATTCTTTAAAACACCTATAAAGCCTTCAGGATACAAAATTCTATTACCCAATACCTGGCCTCGGACTATCTGCCCTCAGACTTTCTTCTATCAAAAAAACGACTGACCAAGTTTTGCAATACAAAAGTTTTCCCATGAATTTTGAATGAAAATTGCTGGTGCAATGTTTTGTGAGCTAAACTCCAGAATTTCACAATATACAACTGGCAAAACTTTGCTTTATACAAAACTTAATTCAGTAGTTTACTTTGCAATATTTCTTCTGGTGACGTATTCTGTGGTAGAAAAATCTTACAATTTAAAAGATAAAAAATTGAAAGATCTTCATGTTAAATAATGGTTGATTCAGAAGTCTACACCAGATCTGCAGTGTTCTTCACCTGTACGAATTCTGGGTGCAGCACTCTTGGAAAAGTCACACAGTCAAAGGAAGGGAATGGCTTGTATTGCTGTCATGAGGCGTCCTTTATGCACGTTAGCTGTCTACTGTTCAGTTCCTTGATTCCCTGCTGTATCCTCTTCACATGGCCTACCTTAGACACACCAAGGTCCTACAGGGTAACAAATACATAACATTAACGGCTGTATCTACTTCACATGGCCTACCTTAGACACACCAAGGTCCTACAGGGTAACAAATACATAACATAAATGTCTGTATCTACTTCACATGGGCACCTTAGACACAGCAAGGTCCTACAGGGTAACAAATACATAACATTAATGGCTGTATCTACTTCACATGGCCTACCTTAGACACAGCAAGGTCCTACAGGGTAACAAATACATAACATTAATGGCTGTATCTACTTCACATGGCCTACCTTAGACACACCAAGGTCCTACAAGGTAACAAATACATAACATTAATGTCTGTATCTACTTCACATGGCCTACCTTAGACACAGCAAGGTCCTACAGGGTAACAAATACATAACATTAATGTCTGTATCTACTTCACATGGCCTACCTTAGACACAGCAAGGTCCTACAGGGTAACAAATACATAACATTAATGTCTGTATCTACTTCACATGGCCTACCTTAGACACAGCAAGGTCCTACAGGGTAACAAATACATAACATTAATGTCTGTATCTACTTCACATGGCCTACCTTAGACACACCAAGGTCCTACAGGGTAACAAATTCATAGCATTAACGTCTGTATCTACTTCACATGGCCTACCTCAGACACCCAGGAAGCCACTGATTTAGCAGAACCCCTACCTTGTTTTCGTCATATAATCATACAGTCGGATACAGTAGGCCATTTTTATACTCTGAGCCAACAAGGAGCTCAATATTAATGGTAAATGTAGGGGACAAGAAAGGATCTTTTTATTAAGGCTAAATGTGAGAACAAGGTGGGGACTCTTTATCGAGAGTAAATGTTGGGCACCAGAAAAGGGCTCTGATTAAAATACCTGTATGTCACCCTTGTCCAGAGAAAGAAGCTCCTCGCCCCGTATTTCATGGCTGATAAAAGAGTCCTTGTATTCTGCTAGGGACAGGTTCTCCAACCACATGGCCACCTCATCTAATGTCCATGTCTGTACGTGATAGGCTGCAACACCATACGATTATAACAACTATCATATGTAAATTCTTACGTAAACTAGCCTACTTGTCATCACTACACACAGCAAAACACACCTTATTAATATTTCTGCCATTGAGTTTACAACATTTACGTTGGAGTCTATCCTCACATTTACTCCTGGTTTTGTTATGAGCTTGGCCCTGTAGTTTTACGTAACTTTTATAAATGAGTTTAACATGACCTTCACTTGTGTTCATTATGAGCTTGTCCAGGCAGTTTTACGTAACTTTTATAAATGAGTTTATCATGACCTTCACTTGTGTTCATTATGAGCTTGTCCCGGCAGTTTTACCTAACTTTTACAGTTTTCTGTACAGAATACCTACGTAAATGAAAGCCTTTGCTGTCTTTGTCCTTGTCGCGACCTTTGCCCTTCAGTTTACTGTACACTTGCTTCAGTTTCCCTGGCTTCCTTTTGGGCTCGACCGGCTGCACAGGGATCTAATGAACAGAACAGTAAAATATATAAACCTGCTCGTTATGGGAAAATAATAAGCCACTACATCTATTTAAACTTGAAATATTTGTAATATGGGAGCAAATTAAGTATTGCATAATATTTTTACTTCCTCTGAATAAAATTTTGAAAAAATGCATTCTTGAGACCTTGCATAAACACATATATCTAACATGTATTTAAAACAAGAGGCCAAAGGGCCTCAACGGTCACCTGAGTTATACATACAGTTGTTACTTGTTGCTGTGATGTGACAAAAACAAATGGTCTGAACAAGAATATTGTTGATATTTTAGCCAATTTGAGCCCTTTGGGTCTGACGCCCCTCAGGCCCCTGGGAGGTTAGATCAATTTAATTTACAGTTTTGCTTTGCCTATGTACATGAAAATGTCCTGCAAAATTTGATTGAAATTGGTGCAGTGGTTTTGGAGAAGAATTAAAAAAAGTAAATTGTTTATGGAAGCACGATGGAGTCTGGTCTCAGATGACTTTTAGAACTTGATACATTTTAGATTTTGATTACAATTTTTGACCTTTGATATTGACATAATGTTTTGTGGTTCACGTGGCCTTGATCGATACAAAGGAGCTACATTTGGTGGACTTTGGTTCACAAATACGGTTATTTTCTTGAAAATAGGCGCAGAGATGTTGTATAGAAATTTATAACATCAACTGACACAGCGCCGTACAGAAAAATATTTTCTTGAAAACGAATGGAGAGATGTTTTATAGAAATTAGTAACATTTAATGACACAGGGCGGTGCAGATAAAATAATTGTTTTCTTGGAAACAAGTCAAAAGATGTTTTATAGAAATTTATAGCATCAACTGACACAGTGCCGTGCAGTTTTTTTCTTTCTTGTAGACAAGTGGAGAGATGTTTTATAGAAATTATAACATTAATTGACACAGGGCCATGCAGACCCTGTGACCTTGACCCTTGCTTGCCTCTAGGATGGAGGAGCTGCTGACCTCCTCCTGCGACACGGCGCGAGATACAGAAGTCGAGATTCCACACATGCGGTTCATCTTCTGCAGCTCCGTCTCCAGCTGGGCCAGCGCTACACTCAATCGGTCCATCAACTCGGGCTGCAGTCTCTGTGGACATAGCATGGTTAGGGTTCATGGAGATATAAATGTATGCTGGGTTTTCCCCAAGATTCAGGAGGTATGGAAGTGAGGAAATGACTTTCATACTTCAGGAGTGTTTGTGGTGTAGCAAAGACTGTTTATACTTCAGGAGTGTTTGTGGTGTAGCAAAGACTATTTATACTTCAGGAGTGTTTGTGGTGTAGTAAAGACTGTTTATACTTCAGGAGTGTTTGTGGTGTAGTAAAGACTATTTATACTTCAGGAGTGTTTGTGGTGTAGCAAAGACTGTTTATACTTCAGGAGTGTTTGTGGTGTAGCAGAGACGGTTTATACTTCAGGAGTGTTTGTGGTGTAGCAAAGACTGTTCATGTTTGGTGTGGAATTAAATTGTACCATTTATTCTTAATGAATCTGGGAAAGTTCCACCTGGAATCTATGTAATTCAAAATTCAGCAGTTTTGTAGAAAAGTACAAATAATGATGTTAAATGTTTTTTTTGTTAAGAAAACATGTAAAATAACATTTTCTATTTCTGATCTTGTGTGCACATATCAGCCAACAGAATTTAGTCTTATCAGAGCTTAGCATCAACGCAAAGAAAGGTTCTACAGACCAAAGCAGTGGTTTTTAAGGGTAAATTGTAAATAGAGACAAATAAAATTCAGACTATTCCTGTTTCTCAGCCAATGAAATACAAGGAATTGCAGTCAGTGCTCAGCCCAGAAAGCAGCCAGAAGAAAGGCAATTTGAGGCACTGGGAAAGTTTGCATTTAAAAAGATTTTCGGGAGACTTACCAACACAGGGGCCTTGTCCGTGAGGAATATATTGGCCTCGTTGTAAAGGTTCTGGACACTTCGGACAAAATCAATCACTTGGCTCCGTAACGTTGGCTTAAAAACAAAAACAATATTGAAATGAATTTCCAATGTGTTTTTTTTTTAACAATTTTTCTCTTTTATCTTCAGATGGTTCCATGGTTTTACTCGCTTTTCCACCTGTAACATGTTCTTTTTTTTTTTACTGTTTTTTACATCATTAACTTTCATATTTGTCAAAGGACTTGAAGGTGATTTGTTTTTTCAATTTTCATATGTGCAATTTCAAGATACATGAACTAAGAAGTTAATTATCTAAAAAGATAAAATTCAACTAATTAAAATGTAATCATGCTGAAAGAAATATGAAAAAAGCAAAAATTAAACAAAACGTAATACAGAAAAAATAAATCTATACACTTAACACAACCATGCACTGAATCACTAACTAATCTGAAACAGTTTCATTCAGGCTGCTAAAATGAATGGCAGGTAGAGTCTAATACAAGTATTAAGGTATGTTTTCTGGCTCTCTGTTACCATGTCTGATGTTAGAGTACATGCTGGGGACAAAGGGGCTGTCTCAAAACAGAACATGTGTGACCTGTCACAGGGGCTGTCTCAAAACAAAACATGTGTGACCTGTCACAGGGGCTGTCTCAAAACAAAGCTTGTGTGACCTGTCACAGGGCTGTCTCAAAACAAAACATGTGTGACCTGTTACAGGGGCTGTCTCAAAACACAACTTTATTTTTACATCAGTGTTTGGCTTGGTGAAATGAACAAATGGAAGAGTCTAATATGTTCCAATTATTTAGGTATGTTTTCTGGCTCTCTGTTACCCTGTCTGATGTTCAATTGTTAGAGTATATGCTGGGGACAAAGGGGCCGTCTCAAAAACAAAACAAGTGTGACCTGTCACAGGGACTGTCTCTAAACAAAACATGTGTGACCTGTTACAGGGACTGTCTCGAAACAAAACATATGTCACCTGTCACAAGAGCTGTACCAAAAGACAACTTTTACATCAGTGAGCATTTTGTTAGCAAGGAAGGGTAAACATTTGTACAGTATATGTTCATCATTCATTCTTTTTTCCTTTTTGTGTCTCCTTTGATACCTGTTTGTAAAGTCCGTCAGATGATCAAATTGGTCAATATGGTTCTGATCTGCTGTATTTATTTATGTAACGACTCTTGATAGTTGTGACCTTGACATGTGAAACATTTAAATATGTGACCAAGACATGAAAGACATTGACTCGTTTGACCTTGAATTGTTGGGCAAAGAATGTGACCTTGACAATGATGACCTTGAGTGTTTGACATTAAATGTTAAGTACCAACAACAGAATCACAAGACCACAAACAAGCCAAGAACAAGGTATCAACCTGGTAGGAGTCGGAGTCCGCAGTGTCCAGCTAATAAACAAAAACATTTTTATATAAGTAAAATTTTCTCAACAGCTCTGGTTAATCTTCTGTAATAAAACATCCAATCACAGGTTGTGCTTGTTATGTATAATACAATAGATTCAAACAGAAATGTGACACCTTAAGGAGATTTGATTGACAGGAGAACAGTGTACATGTAGAAACAATTTTGCTACACCAAATATAAACTGGGAAATTATAACTACAGTTAAACTTTTGCTATTTTCTTTATCCATAGACGTTAATATTGTGCACAGCTATAATAAATAGTATTTAAAATTATTTAAGGATTGAATCCTGTTATGTTGAGGTTTATGGGGTATAAACCTCAATGGGTCTTGAGACAAATTTAATGAACTGCGAACACAACAGGATTCAATCCTTATATTTACATTCAGTGCAATATTGATAATGTTTTTATTTATAATTTCTGAAATATTAGACCTGTGTAAGTCTATACGGTAAGGTGCGGAAGAATGTGATATTATCACTCAGTATGAGTATGAGGCCATCTGACGTACTCATACGCCAACTGTGAGTTTATGGAAACAAGAGGCCTATGGGCCTTAACGGTCACCTGATATATTTATACAGAGAGTTGATTTTGTTTTTAACATGAACAGAAATATTATTCAAAGTGACAAAAAACAATAAAACCACCTTATTCAATATCTAGCATACAGATTTCAGACTAAAAAGTATTTGAAACTAGCACCTCTGATTCTAAACAAGGAAAATGAAGAAATTTTAGCACACTGACTCCTTTGAGCCCCACCCTACAGCCCTTGGGGGTAGGGCTGGCTCAAAATTTTCAAAGTATCAAACTGTCAATTCAAGGTTATAATTCCAATCAAGTTATTAACATGTAATATTCAAAGTATCGTTTGCCATTATAAACCATAATAAATTTTGCCCCCCCCCCCCCCTTCCCCAGGGGGTAAACGTGAGACCCTAGGGTCATAAACCTTAAGACCCTTCCATCTATGAAGAGTATTTGATTCTACCATATCTGGGTCTTGAGAAGAAGATTTTTGAAATTTCAGTAAATTCGACCCTTTTTGGCCCCACCCATCAGTCCCTGGGGGTCAGTCAGGGGTCATAAGTGCTTATTATCAAACTGCTACCTAATACTGATAATGCTAACCCAAATTGAATTACTTCCAATGGAAATTAAACAAATGTTGGTCCAAAATGTGATTTCCCTATATAAACTATAGTAAAGTTTACCCCCTCCCCAGAGGGAAATGTGAGACCCCAGGGTCATGAAATTCACAATTTCGGTAAATCACCTTAAGACCCTTCCATCTATGAAGAGCATTTCAGTCTACCATATCTGGGTCTTGAGAAGAAGATTTTTGAAATTTCAGTAAATTCAACCCTTTTTGGCCCCACCCATCAGCCCCTGGGGGTCAGTCAGGGCTCATATTTGCATATCCTAATACTGATAATGCTAACCCAAATTGAATTACTTCCAATGGAAATTAAACAAATGTTGGTCCAAAATGTGATTTCTCTATATAAACTATAGTAAAGTTTACCCCCTCCCCAGAGGGAAATGTGAGACCCCAGGGTCATGAAATTCACAATTTCGGTAAATCCCCTTAAGACCCTTCCATCTATGAAGAGTATTTGATTCTACCATATCTGGGTCTTGAGAAGAAGATTTTTGAAATTTAAGTCAATTCAACCCTTTTTGGCCCCACCCATCAGCCCCTGGGGGTCAGTCAGGGCTCATATGTGCATATCCTAATACTGATAATGCTAACCCAAATTGAATTACTTCCAATGGAAATTAAACAAATGTTGGTCCAAAATGTGATTTCCCTATATAAACTATAGTAAAGTTTACCCCCTCCCCAGAGGGAAATGTGAGACCCCAGGGTCATGAAATTCACAATTTCGGTAAATCACCTTAAGCCCCTTCCATCTATGAAGAGCATTTCAGTCTACCATATCTGGGTCTTGAGAAGAAGATTTTTGAAATTTTAGTCAATTTGACCCTTTTTGTCCCCACCCCTCAGGCCCCTGGGGGCTTGGGACTAAACCGGACACTGTTTTTGTTGAACTTTGTCCATGGAAGGTCCCTGCGAAATTTCATTGAAATTGGTTCAGGGGTTTTGGAGAAGAAGTCGAAAATGAAAATTGTTTACGGACGCACGACGGACGACGACGGACAAAAGGCGATGGCAGTAGGTCACTTGAGACTTTGTCTCAGGTGACCTAAAAACCATTTATACTCTTTGATCCAAGTTCAGTAGAAGTGTATTACTTATATTACTTGGTACATTAATACTGTATCAGTGAAAGACAAACTGTGATTTCATTATTCCATGCTATCTTACCCTTTTTTTGTACTGCACTTTGCTATAAATATATTTTTTATTCACATTTAAGAGCAACATTAGCAGGTGGGTTATTGATAGTTTTCCTTATTGAAACAAACATTTTGACTGGATACCTTGGAAAAAACAAATGTAGTTATGTAAAGAAATGAAGACTTTTTAAAGTCTAAAGAGAAGATGTGACGGCAAAATCCAAATAACCCCTGGTCAGTAGGAGAAATCTGCTTTCGGCTGCTGGGTTTTATATCAGGAAATTTACAACTATATTTCATAGATTTGTTAAAGATGAAATCTCCGATTGAACATTTGAAATTTTCATTTGTGAGTTAAAGAAATGGTACAAGAAGTTGATTTCGCTAGTTATTGGACGTGATGAATATTGTTTTTGATTTCGCTAGTTATTGGACGTGGTGAATATTGTTTTTGACATCGCTAGTTATTGGACGTGGTGAATATTGTTTTTGACATTGCTAGTTACTGGACGTGGGGAATATTGTTTTTGACATCGCTAGTTATTGGACGTGGTGAATATTGTTTTTGATTTCGCTAGTTATTGGACGTGATGAATATTGTTTTTGATTGCGCTAGTTATTGGACGTGGGCAATATTTTTTTTGACATCGCTAGTTATTGGACGTGGTGAATATTGTTTTTGAATTCGCTAGTTATTGGACGTGGGCAATATTGTTTTTGACATCGCTAGTTATTGGACATGGTGAATATTGTTTTTGACATCGCTAGTTATTGGACATGGTGAATATTGCTTTTGATTTCGCTAGTTATTGGACGTGGTGAATATTGTTTTTGATTTCGCTAGTTATTGGACGTGGTGAATATTGTTTTTGACATCGCTAGTTATTGGACGTGGTGAATATTGTTTTTGATTTCGCTAGTTATTGGACGTGGGCAATATTGTTTTTGACATAAGTAACGATTACAAGGGAAAAATGAGATCCAATGTGTACCAGTGGACGTTCATTCCGCAGCTAAACATGTAAACTGGAGTAAATTTGCCAAGACTCTTCATTTGAGGTTGTCAGGTCATCTATTATTCTGAATAAGTAACGATTGTTAACTCTTTAATCCGGAAGAAGTGTTGATATTTTTTAATTTGCAGAAAAAAAATGAGTTAAGATTAAATAAGGCTCGACTGTAAACACTTTTGACTTCCCTGGTATCTTGTACTACTAACCTCAGCCAGTCTGCCAGAGGGGTAGAGTCTATCCATGTACTCGGACGCCCGAGTTGCCAAGGGGAATAACTCCTGCTCCACTGTGCTGTAGTTTAAGGCAGCCACCTTCACACTGTCCAGAAATAAATTGGGAAAATTAAGTCTTTTTTTCTCCCCTACATCAGGTTGAGAAAACATATACAACAAGTCTCTCTGCTGGGACCTTGCTTCATAAAATGACATCTGCCCTGCGTTTTGATATTCATCCAGAAATTTAATCTAAACAAAACATTCTTTTAATGTTGCTGTAGTTCAAGACTAGTTGTGATAATGGTTTACCATCTAATGAGAGCTGAAGCCACGTCCACAAAGTTCTGGAGAACCACCGACTCCTCTTCAGACAGTGCTATAGGCGAGACACTGGTCATCCGTTCCATTTTCTGTTTCTCCGACCACGACTTCAGGATACTCTCAAAGGCCTGCAATATCAAGTAACAATACTTATAATGATGGCAAGGTCAAGGACAATTTATTTCAAAACAAGAGGCCCATCCATGGGCCTTAACGATCACCTAAGTCCTACAGTATTTATTTTTGTTGTTGAAATATGTACCAATTTGAGTACAAAATAGTTAAGTATAACGTTAACTTAAGTTTGTCAGGACCATGAGCTGATCATTCCTAGACCAAGTTTTAGTTAAATCGGCCTATTAGAACTTGTTTTTAAGTTTGAAATAGTTATTTTCGAAATAGCGGCCGTGGCAACCAAATTGTATTTAAGATCGACCCGAAAAATAATAACACTTTGTCAAGACCATGAGTCGATCATTCCTACAAAGTTTTAGTTTAATCGGCCCAGCAGAACTTGACTTTGATTTTGAAATTGTTTTTTTCAAAATGGCGGCCATATTGGATTTCTTATCAACCCAAATAAGAACAACATTTTGTCATGACTATGAGTCGATCATTCCTACAAAGTTTCAGTTTAATCGGCCCATTAGAACTTTCAAATAGATTTTCAAAATGGCAGCCTTGACGGCCATATTAAATTTCTGATTGACCCGAAAAATAACAACACTTTGTCAGGACCATGAGTTGATTATTCCTACTAAGTTTCAGTTGAATAGGCCCAGTTGAACTTGACTTTGAGTTTGTAATAGTTTTTTTTAAAGTGGCTGCCGTGGTGGCCATATTGGATTTCTGATCGACCCGAAAAATAACAACACTTTGTCAGGACCATGAGTCGATCAATCCTACCAAGTTTCAGTTCAATCGGCCCAGCAGAACTTGACTTTAAGTTTGAAATAGTTTTTCAAAATGGCGGCCAGGGCATCCATATTGGATTTCTGATCGCCCCGAAAAATAACAACACTTTGTCAGGACCATAAGTCAATCATTCCTACCAAGTTTCAGTTCAATCGGCCCAGCAGAACTTGACTTTAAGTTTGAAATAGTTTTTTAAAATGGCGTCCGTGGCGGCCATATTGGATTTCTGATATACCCGAAAAATAATAACAATTGGTCGGGGAGATGTCAGTAACCTTCCCATGAAAAATTAATGAAATCCCTTTGACAGTATTTCAGCTCAAGTTGAAAAATGTCAACTGTTAACGGATGACACACGACGACGGACAACGACGAATAGCAATAGGTCACTTGAGCTAAAGCTGAGGTGACCTAAAAATTTGGAAAGTTTTCTACGATTTTTTTTATATAGAGCACATCGGAAATTTCTGAAGGTATTCGTCCTGGTTCCTGTCGTTTGATGCTTAGTTATCCCTAATGCTGGGAGGCAAACCTAGTTTTCATTAAGGATAGTTCACAATTTCTATAAATTCCTCAATGGGAATGAGGAAGGGGCATAACTGCTATCAACATTTATTTCTAAACCCTTTTTTTCAGGTTTGTAATTATGACTAGTATAACAGTTATGTATTACAACCAGTAATTGTTTATATGTGATGTTTCGGTGACTAGTATGTTACGTACCGCCATCAGACAAATGCTGATGATAAACACCTTTCTACTATGCTATTGAAAATCAGTGATATATAGCATGTAGTACAACTACATAGGGTTATACTCAGGCATTTGTACAATTTTTGGTAAATTTTGGCCAAGAAGCAAAATAGAAGTTCTTTGGGCAAAATTTATAAAATGGAAAATCATGAAAGGGGCATAACTCTTTTTAGAAATAAGCACAACATTTTAGGGTGCTTATGATGTGCTCATCAAAGTTTCATAAGTATCAGTCGAGACGGTCAGTAGGTGATTTTCACATAGAAGTCTGCTGTAAACTGTTGGAGGATTTGTGTGGAAAACTAAGTAGGAGTAGTTTGTACAAAGTTTATATAATAATGTAAGAGAAGAGGCATAACTCCCATAAAATTGGTCAGATCGAAATATTTATCCCAGGTGCACAACTTCAGAGAGTGTTGACTACATCAGTGGAGTTTCATGCAATTTGGCTGAAAAACAGTAGAAAAAGTTGTGAGGACAAATTGTGTGTGCAGACAATTAGTCTCCGAGTGCAGTTCGAAACTTACCCTGTCTCTTGTCAGCATCTGAGCACGATTTTTATGGACGATGCGGATGTAGCCTGGTGGTTGCATCCAGGCCTCCCCGTCGACCTGTACTGGGACTGCCTCGTCTCCCATGATCGTGATCTTTACTTTCCGACACTACATAGAACAAGTAAACATGGTTGAATGAAATACAATACTTACTGATGAAATGATGTGGGGAACACCAGAGAATGAAAGTGACTGTATCAATATTTAGTTCCCTATCAGTTCTGTTACATTGTGTAATGGATATATTATTTTGTACATTATGGTAAAGTAGACGTCTAGTCATCTTGATTCCATAGTCAAATACATTAGTGTTTACAGATCTCTTAGGCTTAGCACTATACTTTTATTACCTGTGCTATACTTTAATTACCTGTGCTATGCGATGCTACCGAATTACCTGTGCTATGTGATGATTCTTTAATTACCTGTGTTATACTTAAACTACCTGTGTTATACTTAAATTACATGTGCTATACTATAATTACCTGCACTATACTTTAATTACCTATGCTATACTTTAATTACCTATGCTATACTTTATTTATCTGTGTTATACTTTAATTACCTGTGCTATACTATAATTACCTGCGCTATACTTTAACTACCTGTGCTATACTTTATTTACCTTTGCTATACTTTATTTACCTGTGCTATTCTTTAATTACCTGTGCTATACTTTAATTACCTGTGCTATGCCATGCTGCGGCAATTACCTGTGCTATACTTTATTTACCTTTGCTATACTTTATTTCCCTTTGCTATACTTTATTTCCCTTTGCTATACTTTATTTCCCTTTGCTATACTTTATTTGCCTGTGCTATTCTTTAATTTCCTGTGCTATGCCATGCTGCGGTAATTACCTGTGCTATTCCTTAATTCCCTGTGCTATACTTTAATTACCGGTGCTATGCCATGCTGCGGCAATTACCTGTGCTATACTTTATTTACCTATGCTATACTTTATTTACCTATGCTATACTTTAATTACCTATGCTATACTTTATTTACCTTTGCTATACTTTATTTCCCTTTGCTATACTTTATTTCCCTTTGCTATACTTTATTTCCCTTTGCTATACTTTATTTCCCTTTGCTATACTTTATTTCCCTGTGCTATTCTTTAATTTCCTGTGCTATGCCATGCTGCGGTAATTACCTGTGCTATTCTTTAATTTCCTGTGCTATGCCATGCTGCGGTAACTACCTGTGCTATACTTTATTTACCTGTGCTATTCTTTAATTGCCTGTGCTATACTTTAATTACCGGTGCTATGCCATGCTGCGGGAATTACCTGTGCTATACTTTATTTACCTATGCTATACTTTATTTACCTTTGCTATACTTTATTTCCCTTTGCTATACTTTATTTCCCTTTGCTATACTTTATTTACCTGTGCTATTCTTTAATTACATGGGCTATGCCATGCTGCGGTAACTACCTGTGCTATACTTTATTTACCTTTGCTATACTTTATTTCCCTTTGCTATACTTTATTTCCCTTTGCTATACTTTATTTCCCTTTGCTATACTTTATTTACCTTTGCTATACTTTATTTCCCTTTGCTATACTTTATTTCCCTGTGCTATTCTTTAATTACCTGTGCTATTCTTTGCTCACCTGTTCTAAGTAATGGTGCAGTAATTACGTGTGCTATGTAATGGTGCAGTAATTACGTGTGCTATGTAATGGTGCAGCTCTTACCTGTGCTATGTAACAGTGCAGTAACTACCTGTGCTATGTAATGGTGTAGCAATTACCTGTGCTATGTAACGGTGCAGTAATTACCTGTGCTATGTAATGGTGTAGTAATTACATGTGCTATGTAATGGTGCAGTAATTACCTGTGCTATGTAATGGTGTAGTAATTACCTGTGCTATGTAATGTTGCAGCAATTACCTGTGCTATGTTATGGTGCAGTAATTACCTGTTGTATTTAATGGTGCAGTAATTACAAGTGCTATGTGATGGTGCAGTAATTACATGTGATATGTAATGGTGCAGTAATTACATGTGATATGTAATGGTGCAGTAATTCCCTGTGCTATGTAATGGTGTAGTAATTACATGTGCTATGTAATGGTGCAGCAATTAACTGTGCTATGTAACAGTGCAGTAGTTACCTGTGCTATGTAATGTTGCAGCAATTACCTGTGCTATGTTATGGTGCAGTAATTACCAGTGCTATGTAATGGTGCAGTTATTACCTGTGCTATGTAACAGTGCAGTAATTACCTGTGCTATGTAATAGTGCAGCAATTACCTGTGCTATCCGATGCTGCTGTATATCAAGAACCCGAGACATGGCCATCTGCATCGAACCAAATACAGCCACCACTTCCAGTATCTTATCATCAAAGCTTGGGGCTTGGAATGTCTGCAATGCAAGTAACTGTCTGATGTATTCTGATTTTATCTTGTTCAAGCTTACACAATATGAGCCTAAGCCCTATCAGGGAATCTCAAAGGAGCTGCCTTTCACCAGGAGTTCATCACCTCATCCTGTTACCTGTGACATCACAATATATCACTTGATCTTTATCGATTGATGGCATGCTACTAAATGGTTATAAATATTGTACAGTTTATGGAGATTAAGGACCCCTGTCCCACTGCACTGTGGTTTTTCGTACGTACAGTAACCTCCCCTTAACTTCTGTTTGGATATACCTGTAGCAAAGCAAGGCCAAAATACTTTAGTTGATGAGGTAACTCGATCGATTAGAGCAAAAGTACATCAACCTGAAGTCCCGGGTTCAAATCCTGGTTTAACCCCGCTGAATATTTTACACTCAAAACACTAACATTGATTATATTTTATTTATTTCATCTTTATTATTGATCATGCCAGAATAAAGTTTTCCAATAGTTAGTTACAGTGTTTGGCAGTGGTACGGGGATCCTGAAAGTGCTTTATGATGCGAGGAACAGGTTATTTTTAAACTAAATATATTTAAAAACATTAAAATTCAAAACTAAAATTGCATGCTAAGGATTGAAAATGATTATCGTCTAGTCACCAGTTTCCGCGCGTTATGTATTTCAGCGCAGCCATTTTATCAAGCTATATTTTAGACGTTTGGCCATCATCTGTAAACTGACAAAAAAATTACCGGAAGTTCGTCTGGAAAACATAAGATTAATCACTGATTAAAAAACACGCATAAATATGCAGTTTTGCTTAATGCACTTTTTATCTTGCTCAAAATGAACCCATACCTGAAAAAACGGTGACATATTTCATTCATGAACCAGTCTTTTTTGTAGTCTGACAAACGTACGAAAATGTCATATGCAAATGAGGCCACATCTCCTCACCGATTTTTTTCCACTTCCGAAGAGCCAAGGAGACATTCTTATATTGATAAACAGTATTTTCAATGAAAGGTAAACCTTGTAATGCAATGAACTTCCAAATTTCACTAATTTCAAACAGAACAAAATGAGAAATAACTTGCCATCAACCAAAACCGATATAAAACTGCAGTAAAAAAATAATAATAACAGATTCTATATTATAGCTAAATAAATATAATAAATAAAATTATAACATAACATGAATTCGTTCAATTTGACACCTTGAAAAATCAATTAAAAATGTGAAATTAAAAAAAAAAATGTTTTGATTATTAACTTGACGATCAAAGATATTTTTTTTTATTCCAAACGAAGCTTTTGTTCTTGCAGGTCACTGTAGAGAATTTCTTTATAGTGTATTTGAGTTATCTTTCTTTGAACACTAAATCAAAATAGACACACGGAAACATATGACGGCTACTTCCGACGGGAGAAATTTGCTAAAAATTGTTTGTTCTGATTTTTTTCAAATACAGTTTTATGTTGCTAGTTTTTTGTTTCCTTTAGTAGATTGTATACATGTTTATGACAGTCTTCCTTAATTTCAACTGTTTTCTGCAGATATGAGTACGAAATCGCGGATGCTTCTTAAAAGCGCGGAAACCGGTAACCCGAGGATATTTAAAGATAAAATACACAAAAATATTAGCTCATTTTAAAACATTTCTTCAGAATTACATTTTTAATATCTGTGATTAAAACTTCTCAAATATTATCAAACTTTCAATAACTGGGTCTTGAAAACTTACATCGTCTTCTTTGGTGCCTCCCCAAAAGTTGGATCCTCCGCCGTAACTGTAGGAAGAAAAATGTAAACATTATAACTTTATCCTTACCGTAAAAACCCATGTAATTTGCGCACTTTTTTTTCAGAAATTTAATATCCAAAGTGGGGGGTGCGTAAAATACACAGGTATAGAAAATTTCAAGCTTTTTTCAGGAAAAGATCGACGATTCTGGGAGATCGCCATCTTGGATTATTTCCCTTATTTATTATACACGGAACTCTAAGACAAATGACGATCAACAAATTTATTTATGTCAAACATTAATAAAAGATACATAATGTGTTGTTATGTGAGTTTATGTGAAAAGTATTATTAAATAGGGAACCGTTAACAAAAAAAGTGTAGTCAAATTCCTATGCCAGAGAATCGCCAATCAACTTACGACATCTCGGTGCGTTTCCCCACACTATTACGAAAATGTAGTTGTTCAATTTAAGCTCCGTTCCATGTAAGTTCTGTAAGGTTTTTTCAAATCGCCTATGCGTAAACGTATAGCATGTTTTTTTTCCGGCTCACTTTCATGTTGATCTCGCGTCTAACATTACGTAAACACGTGATTGATAATAACCTCGTGAATTATTTCAATATTTATTAAATGAAGCATCGTAAAAATAGTCTGCGTTAACTATTTTTTTCCTTGGAGTAGATTTGAAGAGGATGTATTGATTGTCCACGCTTCTAGTATAAACATATTTTTTATAATCCCTTATCAGTCAAATCAGTCTGTTGTTATGACAATGCAGTAGGGCTTCGTAATTCACGCCACGTGTTGGTGAGTGAAAAAACAACAACACGGTCCGTCGATCGCGACTGCAAATCATTTCAATTAGTAGAGCTATTGTTAACGGGTAATCACAGAGATAGTGTTAGCTAATTACTGCATTGTAATTTGTAAAAAATATCGCCAAACCACGGACTTAGATAATCTAATTCCGTGGCCAAACTGAACTGTGACATGACCTGGTTTGAAGTGACGTAACCCAAGCCGCCATGATGAGCCCTTCTCACTGATCGTAATTATGATCAATAAAAGGTATCTAATTATGTCTTTCACCAGGAGATATGCACCAGCGGTTACTAAACATCGAATTACTTATTAATTGATATGTTTTTGTAAGCAAGTAAATGTTTTATGTAAAATATTGCTAAAATGAATCGGTGTATGCCGATATGCGCACACGTGTGTGTCATGTGTGATCAGATAATTTAAAGAAAACAAGCAACAAAATACACATTTATCGTAGTTTCTTCTTGGTTTTAAATATCATTTTACATCAATGAAAAAAAATTCATAGAAATATATTTAAAAAAAAAAAATCAGAGATCGATTTTCGGAGCATGAACATCGGTTTTTTTCCAGATTTTTTGGGTGCGCAAAATATTCGAGTAGAAGCTTTTTTCCCGATTTTCAGCCTCAAAAAGTACCTGCGCAAATTACACAGGTGCGCAAATTACATGGGTTTTTACGGTATTTGAAAATGCAAACAGTTTAATTTAAGTTCTTTTTCTTAAATTTTGAAATGTAACTGAATTTTCTGACCCTTGAGGCGAAATGACCCTTACCTTGGAATGTTGAGGATGACGATGCCCTGCAGGGAGGGAAGTGGTATCCGCTGACCGTCACATTCTAACTGGACACGCTGGTCAAGATTCTTAAAGGTCCGCTGTAGGATTTCTTTACCGCCTAGTACCCCGTACCACATCATATTTTTTGTTCGACTCCTACAATAAAAAGATGATGGATTTTTTCTGAAATGCCTAAAAATTCCAATGCTCCAGAATGTCTTCCAATGTCTAAGGGTATGTAAATAGTTTTACCATACTTATCACAAGATGATTCATACCCACTGCTTTATTTAGGTAAAATCTTAAACAGACTCACTGCACAACAATAAAACAAGATTTGAACTCTTGTATGTTTGACCAGCACATCAAACACCTTAACTTTCACAATTCAAGATGGCAGCCTGTCAGCCAATCAGTCTCAAAAGTAGAAATGCACAACTAAGGACCAAGGGGAACTTACACATGAAATTTGAGAAAGATCTCTCAATTGCTTACCGAGAAATAGCAATAACAAGAATTGTATAAGGACGGACCACAGACCATCAGATGATGGTGGGTTAAAAGATCAATATGTGAAACAAGATATTTTTGACATACCTGCACTTTTCAGGGTGGACTTCCCGTTTGTTTTGGAAGTCAAGTGTAATCTTGGCATCAAGACCTATACCAAAATAGTTGTTCATCACACACCGCTCCATGTACTCCTCTCTGGAAGGTCATGAATCAAAGAATTACATTCCATTCATGATAAAAATCACAGTTTATTGTTAAAATGTTGATAAAGGATTACTATAGAAATAAAAGAACATTAGGCCTAAATAAAGAAATATAACATTTTTCTTTGTTCAAATACCACAGACTATCCTCTTATCCTCTACACTTAAAGAGAATTCATTTCCTGACAAAAACACAAAAGTAGCTCAGCACAATGTCAAAGCTGTATACAGAAATTGACAGTGAAAGGTCACAGGTGGAAAGGTGTAACAGAAAGGTCACGGGTGGAAAGGTGCAACAGAAAGGTCAAAGGTGGAAAGGTGCAACAGAAAGGTCAAAGGTGGAAACATGCAACAGAAAGGTCAAAGGTGGAAAGGTGCAACAGAAAGGTCAAAGGTGAACAAGACAACAGAGGAAAGGTGAAAGGAAAGGTTGACCAGAGTACAGAGTAGAAAGGTGTAACAGAAAGGTCAAAGGTGGAAAGGTGCAACAGAAAGGTCAAAGGTGGAAAGGTGCAACGGAAAGGTCAAAGGTGGAAAAGTGTAACAGAAAGGTCGAAGGTGGAAAGGTGCAACAGAAAGGGCAAAGGTGGAAAGGTGCAACAGAAAGGTGAAAGGTGGAAACGTGCAACAGAAAGGTCAAAGTGAACAAGACACAGAGGAAAGGTGAAAGGAAAAGTTGACCAGAGTCAAGGGTAGAAAGGTGTAACAGAAAGGTCAAAGGTGAACAAGACAACAGAGGAAAGGTGAAAGGAAAGGTTAACCAGAATACAGGGTAGAAAGGTGTAACAGAAAGGTCAAAGGTCGACAAGTAAACAGCACAAAGGTGAAAGGAAAGGTTAACCAGAGTCAAGGGTAGAAAGGTGCAGCATAAAGGGCAAAGGTGAACAAGACAACAGAGGAAAGGTGAAAGGAAAGGTTAACCAGAGTACAGGGTAGAAAGGTGAAACAGAAAGGTCAAAGGTGATCAAGACAACAGAGGAAAGGTGAAAGGAAAGGATGACCAGAGTCAAGGGTAGAAAGGTGTAACAGAAAGGTCAAAGGTCGACAAGTAAACAGCACAAAGGTGAAAGGAAAGGTTAACCAGAGTCAAGGGTAGAAAGGTGCAGCAGAAATATCAAAAGTTGACAGGTCAACTACAAAGGTAATAGGTAGAAGGTGAAAGGTCAGACAGATCAACTGTGGAAAGATGAAGGGTGCAGAGGTTCAGCAGGAAGGTCAAAGATCAGCTGTGAAAAGGTCAGCTATGAGGAAAGTAGATAGGTTAATGGTGGTAAGATTCAAGGTCAACACGTTAAAAGTGAAATTATAAAAAGGGAGTAGAAAAGGAAAAATATTTCTGATATCATCTACACAACACTTTTGGGGATTGTAATGCACTCACGGAGGAATATCCTCCTCCATAAGAGGGGAGGCTGCGGCACACAAGGCGTCAGCATTGGCCAGCAATACCTTACTGATGAAACTGCCACCCGCGAGCTTCCCGGCAATACTACTGCTTAAACCTGTAGATACACACAAGGGAATACAGTTAATATCAACATCAGAATAAATCCAGAAAGGAATATATAAATCTGTTTTGACACGGGGGGGGGNNNGGGGGGGGGTTAGGTTAAAATCCCTTCAAAGGTACATAAGAAGAAGGATCTTTAATGTTTTCCTCTATTTCCCCAAATGGGCCCCACCCATCTGCCCTTAGAAGGGGGCCCACACACCTCAGTTTATACAAAATTGATTCTTTTGTCCCTTCACTTGTATAGCAAGAGAAAAAAAATCCTCTATTTCCCCTATTGGGCCCTGCCCCCAGAGGGGTCACACCCTCCGTTTATACAAACTTGAGTCTCCTTTGTCCAAAGATGCTTAAGGACAAATTGGGTCAAAATCCTTTTATTGGTTCAGAAGAAGAAGATTTTTTAAAGATTTACCTATTTTCCCCCTATTTGGCCCCGCCCCTCTGCCCCCAGGGGGACCATACCCTCCGTTTATACAAAACTGAAAACCCTTTTGCCAATGATGCTCCAGACCAAATTTGATCAAAATCCTCTGAGCCGTTCAGGACAAGAAGCGTTTTAAAGGAAAAAGTTGACGGACGCGATAACGATTGGAATATGATTTGTATACAGTGTACAAGATTCTGTTACTCACTTGACACAAGTACAATATTCTCTTCCTTTTTTGCCACAAATTCACTACAGTGGAACCCACTTATTATGATATCGCTTATTATGATATTTTTCCAATGTACTGATTTTTTCCTTTCTTTAACTAAGCAAAAAAAAAAAGTTTACTATGATATGGTGAAATGTGGGACCCCGCTTAGTATGTTATTTTTACTGTCGTAAATGGATTTTATAAGGTAAAAACTCAAGTAAGTTATCCCTATTAAACACCTGGACAATTGAACAATAGGTCCGGCTAACTGTACATTGCCTGAGGTGAACACCTGTCCACTCCAGGTAAATTTTTCACACCTCGATAATAGATCGACCATCGCTTACATATTATTCTTAACAAAACATGTGGTGCAGTTAATTGCTATCTAAAAAATACTGTAGAACTGTGTATCAAATAATAGAAATGATTAGGCCTACAGACATTTTCTAACACAAATTTCGATAAAAAAACGAGCATGCCTACACATGTCACATGTCATGTGAGAAAATCATGCCGATTTCAATGAAAATGCTACTTCAGAAGGAAGACGTGTTTTTTTAATCAGTTAAGCAATAGCTTTTTAATTGCATTTGAAGTTGATTTCCTCGTGTCTCCGTTGAAAAAGTGTCAAAATCGGGACAAACCGCCCTGACAGCATGGTGCCGGAAATCGATCCAAAGTTTACGTTATTGTCGTAAATAATTGACGACGGCTGTTATATTTACAATTTACACACAATTTTCGTTAAAAACAATATTTGATCGTTGTTAAAAAGGGAATCTTTTGTGTTTTTAATCGTTATTGGTTCTCTGCAAGTTGATTTTCACCGGCATATAAAGGGCATCTCACTTCAGGTTCCGAAAACATAAAAACGATCGAAAACAGCTTGATCGGTTATTATGATATCGCTTATTATGATATTTTTCTCTGGCAAATAGAATATCATAATAGGCAGGTTCCACTGTACTTACTTGGAAGTACACTATAATCACAGAAGGGGAAGCCCATCACTGGGACTGGAATGCTCTCTTTGTTGGGACTTTTCTCGCGGGTCTGGGACAGATTAGACCCTAAACTTGAGGTACGGTTAAACGTACTCATGCTGCTGATTCGGCGCGACGTTGTCGGCTCCTCAATCTTCGGCGATCTCTGACCATCTAGAAAGAAAACAAAATCTGAACGTGTATGTCAGGTGAATGATAAATACAATGGAAACATTATCTCAATCAAGGAAAATTTATCAAAACTTTTAAATGTAAGAGTACACTTTCATACTTAAAGCACACTAGCTGATTTTGAAAGTTTTTGCAAGCTGTTCATATATTTTGATGGCAAATATGCAAATTTTAACCGGTCCCTACATCATTTCTTTTTCTAGCCATGGATGTCAGGCTATTGGAATCGTACACTCCTGCAGTATTTTGAAAAGATATAAAATTTATTCATCTTCTGCTGATTTCGTACAACTATCCAGTCTACTCTAGATCTAAACTGTATCTTTTTACAGGCGAGGTTTATATAGAACTTAATCAATTCTCCTAAGCTAAACTTACCAAGATTGCGAGGACTGAGGAGCGGGGAGACAGGAGCCACCTCAGAGGTAAAGATTGAGAACGTCGGAGCAGAATGTGATGTCTCTGTGTCTGCCACTAAGCCCCGACCCCCCGAGTCCACGTTGAGATGCTCCGTGCTACCAATCGACCGTGACTCATGAATCAAGCCGAGCTGTTGTTCCGTCTGTGCATTTTGTTCGTCCACAGCTACAAATTTAAAATTCATAGTCTACAATCTAAGTTACTCATTAATGAATAGATCATTTGGTGTGAACCGACAAGCTCAACCCTGTATATCTGGTCAATTGTCTGATAAAGGTCATACATAAGAATCATTAAAATGCAGAAAACAAGAATATTTTTGGACATGTAAAAACGTATGTTATATCAACCTCAGTAAAGGTTAATAGCAGTTTTTTCATAACAAGATAACAAAGCACCGATGTATTGTTATACTTTGAGGTTGGTTCAACACTAACGCAAATTGGGTCTTGTTCACCAATTCCATCTTCAAAAGTTAACAGTGGATGTCTTTTGAATATTTAGCACAGGCTAGCCTTTTACACTTCGGATAAGATTAAACCTGTGAGTCATGACGGCCTAGGTAAACGTCACCACTGTAAATCATCAAGACACGAATGTAGTTTAAGATGATGCTCATCATTACAAACCTCAGTGCCGATGGGAACAGGACAAATATAGCATTAACATACTTAAGCTGTAACATTATATGACGTCATGTCAACAGTGCAATGACGTCACGTCAACAATAGCTGATCATGGCAGATAGCTCTGATTATTAATTGGAAATTATGAAATCAATGTTTGCATTTCATGAAATTACCACTTCAATTTGATGTGGGATAAAATTATTATTCCCAACTTAAGTGAGACAGAAATATCTCAACCCTCAGGGTAGGTTTCTTAATGTCCTTGGCAAAACCTCGGCTAGACATTTAAGAATCTTACTCCTCAGGTTGGGATTTTTCTGTCTTACCCCGAAGGTGGGGAAAGATTATATTAATCCCCCACCAGACACCTGTATATAATTCCGATCCTGCTCGAGTTTTGTACCCACCTCTTTCTGTGTGTTCTATTATCTGTCGTATCGCCTTCTTTAGGCTATTAGCCCGGGACATCAAGGCATCTCTGGGTTTGAAAATTGCCTGAAAAAAAATCAAAAACAGTTAAAAAATCAGTTCTATGATACATTAAAGAGGCCCAGAATGCCTGTATAACTTACTTATTAAATATCTATCCTCTGTGACCTTGTAAGAAGGTTGAGGTCAAATTTATTTCAATAGGCTAGTTGTCATTATTTTACACATTTTGTGTCTTCGTTTGTTGGGAGATTTTATTACTCTACACTGTAAGATTTTTTTTCTTATTTTAATAACCTGACATTCAAAGTTGATTTGTTCCAGGACCTTCAAACTTTACTTACAGATTTTGTTTTGGGAGGCACGTTAATTTCTCCTGGTACCACATCATGGTCCGGAGATCCTATCAATAGATCTGGGTCCTCGTGGTGAATCTGTACCTGTTATCAACAATTACAACAATGTAACTAACAGGTAGAAAACAGATAGATCATAAGCAAATCCTATTGAGAAACAGGTAAATTACAAATGAGTCCTAGTAAAATAGGTAAAGTTTGACTGGCATATATTATGAAGAACCAATATGTCCTTACATGCTACTTACAAAACTAAATAAGAGTTGAGTTGTGTAAAATACCCCCTCCCCCAAAGCTGACATGTAAATGATAGCTGAGATGTAATCCAGATGACAGATGTCTGATCTGAGACCTGCATGTAGATAACTTAGCTAGGAGGTAGATGCTAGATTTATCCGAGGTATAGATGATATAGAAGTAAGACAACTTACCTGAGATGTAGATATAAGACAACTTACCTGAGATGTAGATATAAGACACCTTACCTGAGATGTAGATAAAAGACAACTTACCTGAGAGGTAGATATAAGACAACTTACCTGAGATGTAGATATAAGACAACTTACCTGAGATGTAGATATAAGACAACTTACCTGAGATGTAGCTGTAGATGCTTGAGCTTCCTCTTTTAAAGTGATGAGCAAACTATCTAATTTCTCATTCAATACGTTGCACTGAAACAACATCAAGTAGAACATGTTTTTCCTGAATGATTATTGTATACAGTTACCGTATTTATCCTGCAATAAGCCCAGGGGGGCCAACACATAATCTCGGGCTCAAAGAAGCAGGTTGGCTTATGACAGGACAATAAAATACCATTTATCGGCATTTCAACAGAAATTACATTGATATAGGAGGGTTAATTACCAGGAAAGGGCTTTTTACTTGATAAATATGGTAAATTTCACATGATGAAAATATATCTTTTACCTTAACTGATACCATTCAAATCTGAAGTTTTATAAATTTTTAACTTTCATGGATATGTTTGATCAAATTTAACTAGTCTAGATTGAAACCAAGTACATCCTATCAATCCTGTGAGATGAAATTCAGAAACAATATCACAGGGAAAATCTATTTAAAAGAATCTTTAATCATCATAATACGTCTTTCTTTCTGGGGTAAATATGCTATAATTTTTCAAGTTCTTCTGTGACTTGAGATGGATGGTATTGTAGATATCAGTTAGTGACAATGTCTATAAAGGGGCATAACTCTAATGTAGTTTGGCAGACCTTGCTTCTTGTACATTTCTTATATACAGTAACCTCCCCTTAACTTCCGTTTGGATGTAAGTTGTAACAGTAGAGCAGTTGGGCCCGGTCACTGCCGTTGACCAGGTAGCAAAGTCGGTTAGAGCAATAGTACATTGATCTCAAGTCCAGGGTTCAAATCTCAGTCTAGCCCGCTGACTTTTTTTCACACACAGAACACTGTTGCTGGTTATGTTTGTTTATTTCCCCCCTATTATTTCTCACAAAAGTCCTGCAGGGTATGATTTTTTTTCAGGAATGATTTTTCCAAGCTGTAATCATGGCAAAAAAACAGTTTCCAGTATTTAGTTACAGTTTTCGGCTGCGGTACATGGATCCTTGTCCTACTATAAGCAAAACACCATAGAATCCTTCTGTAGTTATTCATAATTACAGTAACCTCCCCTTTATTTCATTTCAGGTACAACCGTACTCGTATTGGACAAAGGAACTATAAGTGACCAGGTAGCTGGTCCCTGATCTGTTCATTTTCTGATACAGTGTTTGGAAGTGGTAACGGAATCTGAACACAACTGTCATACCTCATAAGACTCTCCAACTTTGGCCACAAAATCTTTAACAGTTTCACATAACACTCTGAAATAGAAGTAAAATTCTTGATAAGAAAACATATCAGACATTTTCCGAAACAAAATATCATCATTATATCATAAAATATAATTATTTGCTTTAAATTGACTTTTTTTTAATTTTTTTTTTTAATTATTGTTTTAGTTTTCTATTAAGTAAAGAATGAAAAACATATGAAAATGAATTTCAATTTTCTTATCCTTTTCAAAAACTGTTTGTCAGTTCAGCTTACTTTGCTGAGGAAATAACAACAGAATGATCTTCGGAATGTAGAATCTTGGAAAGGTGATTGGCGACCGAGTCTTCATACACAGATATAGGATCAAACTGGAAAGAAAACCAACATTTGTATGATGGTGACAGAAACACGTACATTAACACCTTGGTTTCAATCTAACAAGGTAAATAATAGCCTCTACATATTTTAAACAACAAAATCTCTGATGTAACAACTTTTCGATAACCAATAGTTTCAACCTACCACTAACAACAACAAAATGTTTAAAAAAAATGGCCTTCTTTTTGGTTTCATTTTTTATGCTAAGGTTACATGCAAGCTGTTAACTAGCCTGACCTGTAATTTAAGAGGCCTGTCGGTGATAAAGACCTTTCAGTGACCAAGGTCAGTGTGAATTCCTGAAGGAATGTTGTTTCTTCATTACGATTGACCATTTTTTCTTTCTTTTTGTGCGACCGACCAAAATTCGTGAGAAATGTATCCCCATAGTGGGTTTTTTCTGAAGCCATTTTTGTGAGACTCACACTCAAATTGTTAGATATGGCATATATGAACCTTGAATAAATTGCAGTTTTTAAAATAAATCAGACAATTACAATCAATAAAATCTCCAATAGAAGGTTGAATTCAAGGTAGGGTGAATATGTTAAAATTACCACGGGTAAAACTTTCGTGATCACATGACTTTATATTCTTTATAAACTACAATCTTGCTCTCAATTGGTGGTATACCATTTTAAAGATACTCCATACCTGTTGAGACAGTTTCCTTGGTGGAGGCATGGTACCCTCGTATGTCCATATACTCCACCTACAAAGGTCAGAGGTCAGTTACCATCAATCAGAATTCAGTTCACTTAGCGTTGTATCTTTAAGATCAGTGAGTCATAAAAAAGTATATTTGTTTTTGAAAATGAACCAGTTTATATAATCGTAAATCAGATAATTTTTACTGTTATTTTACACTTTTTACTCCAGGTTCAAATTCTCAAAGAAATTATCATGCATCAGGGCCCATATTCTTGAAACTGTTCTCATGCTTAAACTCCAATTTTGTGCTCGAACCGAATTTCTTGTCTGGGTGATTAATTAATAAAACAAGAGGCCCAAGGGCCTTAGCGGTCACCTGAGTTATATTATAGGTACTGGTAGCTTTATTTTATTGTTTAGATGTGATGTGGAAATCAGCATGTAAACTAAGTGAAATACAATACTTGTCATGTCATCAATGGATAAGAATTTGAAAATATTGGTAAATGTTCCCTTTGGGGCCCCGCCCTAGCCCCTGGGGATGGGGCAGGAATCCTAATTTTACAAAGTAAAACTCTCATTTACCCAAGATGATTCTGACTAAGTTTGAGCAATTTTCTGCTGAAAATGGATAAAATATATACCGAAAAGTGTTATTTCCCTATATAAACTATATTAAACGTTAACCCCTCCCCAAGGGAGAACGGATAGCTCGGGGTCCTGATATTTTCAATTTAAATAAAGCCCCTGATGATCTTTCTTTCCACGTAAAGAAAATCACTGTAGTACCTCTGAGTCTGGAGAAGAAGATTTTTGAAATATTGATTAATTTTCCCTTTGGGGCCCCGCCCTGGCCCCAGGGGTTGGGGTAGGAATCCCAATTTTACAATTTTGAAGCCTCATCTACCAAGGATGATTCTGACCAAGTTTGAAAAAAATCCATCCACTGGTTCTTGAGAAGAAGTTGAAAATGTAAAAGTTTACGCACGACGCACGACGGACGACGACGGACGAAAAGCGATTGGAATAGGTCACTTGAGCAAAGCTCAGGTGACCTAAAAAAACACACCACATTTTGTCAACTTTTTGAAGGATTTGGGACAGACTTCAAGCCGCATTCTATTTCAAATGTTAACACTTGACTATCTGACCATGTCACATGATTTAAGTAAGTTACAAGAAACTTTTGTTTTTGTTTTTTTACTTTTCATTTTTTTTTATTGATTTTCATGTGAACTTACATTAAAACAAGACTAAACCTTCCATTATATTACATAACAATACAATACATTACAATACCCATAAGATTATATACATGCTTCAATTCAACATGAACACTGCTAAACTTGGGAACATCAGAAAACACACTCTGCACCGTTTTTTTTTTTTTTTTTAAAGATATATATTTATTAACATACCCTCACATACATCCACTTTCATCAGTGGCTTAATTCAATCTAAACCAAAAAGTTTCTGGATAAAATATGCAAGTTCACTTTAAAGCTAATTGTTCACCTAGTGAGTTACAAGAAAGTTGGTTTGAGTACAAAATCCATGCTTGAGCATGAGAACAGTTTCATAAATACGGGCCCAGGCCTATTGTTCAGCGGTCAGCCAGGTGTGAAAATTGACTCCGGTTCATATCGTTAGGTTGTGATGCGATACCAGCCCCCAGTATCTTACCTATCCAGCATCTTGATTTGTGAATGTTCCAGTTTTTCCAATATCACAGTCAGTTGTGTATCCGCTTCAAATGTAGCTCCCCACCCCAGCACTCGAGCCAAGTCATTACCTGTCCCGAATGGTAGCACCCCGACCTGACACTGCAACAAAGATTCCAACATACTGTAAATGTACAGTACTCATGTGTCAGCCCCCAGATCTACAGTCTTCCTTTACACAACAATTAAGTCTTAGGAACCAGGAATGCTTCATAGGAAATATGGTTTAACTCTGTCTATATGGTCATATATAGGAAGTTGATTTCAACTGTTTTCAAGTAATGACACAGGGACTAATTCTCCAGGACAGCGCCAGACCCCTGAGCTAATTCTGGTAGCATTACTATATTAACATGTCCCCGGGACTAATTTCTAGAGGACAGAGCCAGACCCCAGAGCAGGACCAGAACCCTGAGCTACTTCTGGTAGTACGATTATATTTACATGTATCTATTCCCCATCATATATATGGTTATGGAGTGGAGATCTCGACCTTCTATGTTATAATTAAGTGTCGAGGGACAAAAGAGGGACAAACGAGGGACTGAAGAGCCAACCATTGTAGCAGGAGTACATTAGCCTCTTCACAGTGAGATTGTAAACATGGTCATAGGGTGGGTACCTTAACCGTTTTTTCAGGTGAAGATGTAAGAATTTAGATGCAAGGGTCCAGCATAGATATAGAAATTGTGCTTATCCTGAACCTATTGTTATTAATACAACCGAAATGGCTCCATTATTATGAACCTATACCCATACTAGAAGGATGTCCACTTGTACAGCTGGGTAGACGAGAGCACATGTTACCTGGGTAGACGAGAGCACATGTTACCTGGGTAGACGAGAACACATGTTACCTGTCTATGTAGATCTAGTTATCTATCTACAGCTGGATAGACGAGAGCACATGTTACCTGTCTATGTAGATCTAGTTTATCTATCTACAGCTGGGTAGACGAGAGCACATGTTACCTGTCTTTGTAGATCTAGTTATCTATCTACAGCTGGGTAGACAAGAGCACATGTTACCTGTCTATATAGATCTAGTTATCTATCTACAGCTGGGTAGATGAGAACACATGTTATCTGTCTATGTAGATCTAGTTATCTATCTACCGCTGGGTAGACGGGAGCACATGATACCTGTCTATGTAGATCTAGTTATCTATCTACAGCTGGGTAGATGAGAACACATGTTACCTGTCTATGTAGATCTAGTTATCTATCTACCGCTGGGTAGACGAGAGCACATGTTACCTGTCTATGTAGATCTAGTTTATCTATCTACAGCTGGATAGACGAGAGCACATGTTACCTGTCTAATTAGATCTAGTTATCTATCTACAACTGGGTAGACGAGAACACATGTTACCTGTCTATGTAGATCTAGTTACGGTATCTATCTACAGCTGGGTAGACGAGAGCACATGTTACCTGTCTATGTAGATCTAGTTATCTATCTACAGCTGGGTAGACAAGAGCACATGTTACCTGTCTATGTAGATCTAGTTATCTATCTACAGCTGGGTTGACGAGAGCACATGTTACCTGTCTATGTAGAACTAGTTATCTATCTACAGCTGGGTAGACTAGAGCACATGTTACCTGTCTATGTAGATCTAGTTATATATCTATAGCTGGGTAGACGAGAGCACATGTTACCTGTCTATGTAGATCTAGTTATCTATCTACAGCTGGGTAGACTAGAGCACATGTTACCTGTCTATGTAGATCTAGTTTATCTATCTCAGACAGCACCCAGCCTACACTTCCATCACCTCCACACACCAAGATTCGGAACTGGTCAAATTTTTGGAATAGTCTTAATCTAGAATGAAATAAAAATCATGATTTAAAGACGAAGAAATACAAGTGATGAAACTAAGCATTGAAACACAGAAAATGCTTGATAAATTAACCTCATTTGCCAATTAGAATCAGACAAGCAGCGATTGCATAAATGAATTATTGAAATTAAAATCAGTCAAAGCATTGTTATGATAAAGTTGTTGGACCTTAACTTTGAGATTCGCTGAGGATCAGACAGGTCTGAATCAAATCACACATTCTGTTTGTTCCACTTATCTCTTGGCGTTAATTACCTAGAAATACAGGTGTGAATGTGTGCTTGGGATGATGGTTGGTAATTTACAGTTACATTAATAAGGGGCTGTTCAGTTGTTCTGCTGCGGGTGGTCGAACTTGATTGAACACCTTTATTTCAACGACGATACATTGTGATATAATTCAGCTTGTATCGTGGATTATAATTACATTTGTTAAATTTTCAGAGTTATTACTTGTGTTGAATATTTAGAGTTATTACTTGTGTTGAATATTCAGAGTTATTACTTGTGTTGAATATTCATAACAATTAAATTTGTTGAATATTCCGAGTTATAAATTCTGTTATGAATGTATTCATGAAGTAATTGCCAGGAAAGCTAGACCGTGAGACAAGTGGAATAGACAGCTTCCAACTTGGCCAACAAAAATGACTAACATAGCTTTAAAAACTTGCTTTATAAATTATGTAAAATAATTGACAGCAGTAACAATCTGCCTTGGCACCAATTCTTCTTCATGATGATCAAGGTATTTGAAACAAATGGGTTCGTAGTAACAGCTTTGAGTATATCACACTATCATGTTCACCTTGAACTTTGACCTGAGTTTAGCTGTCATATTTGAATTGAGGAAATATGGACAAAATTTGTTCCCATAGCAGAGCATCGTTGTTTGGAATCGTATGTGGGTCAGATATAAATAAGTCATTATTCCTCTGTCACAACCAGTAAGGGAATAATTAAACCGTTATTGATGAAGTAACGTTACCCTGGATGAGGTCCTCCATTCATGAGATCAAACACCTGAGCGGGATTTAATAGCTGCTTAAACCGTCGTAAAAACTTCACTCCCTGAAACATAGACAACACAGAAATAGTCATTCAAAAGAATCTGGTACTTCTGAATGGTAACACAAAACAATGCTGATCGCAAACCACAAGCAATCACTAACCTTTTCACCCCTAAAGTCACATTTGGAACTTACTAAATCAAAGACTGGGCAAGTCCAATTTAAATATGTAGGGGTGAATGAGTTCAGGTGTTCACAACTTTACGAGCTTTACCTGATTGTCGCCTGACTTTGTGTTAACGAACACAAGGAGAGGAGAGGTTCCTGGTGGTCGTGTCGCCTCCCAGTACCCGTCCGAGTCTATATTGTTGATGGCTATTGGAGGTAGTATGGACACTTTGCACTGGCCCAATGGACAATGGGACTGGAAATACTCCCTACACCCTGTGTGGACCTGTAACAGAAAACGTCACATGGACACTTTAACACTGCTAGTTTGTGGAATAAACTAGAAGATGTCTGTAAGACATGAATGCCCCCATCATCATGTGAAATCAGTTTCAGTGTTTGATAATATTCTATTAATATTTACAATGGCTTCGTTTCTATGAATAATAACATGCAGTGACCTTTGAGACATGAACTCATCCGAGGTATTCTCATGCCTGAAATCTGTATAAACTTTTATCAAAATCTGGTAAGAAATGAAGTAGCTAGAGTAATGACAATGAATAATTTGGTGATTTTCTATATATAACAAGTGACCTTGGTCTTGACCCCTAAAACAAAGAGATGTCAGAGGTATTTCCATACTTGACCTTCGTATAAAGTTTGATCAAAATCCGTCAAAAGAATGAAGTTGCTAGACTATTTGCATTGAATCACGACCGGACTGTGTGGGACAGACATGTGCAAAACCATAACCCCCGCCCTCTCATTTTATAGCAGTGGGGGCAGATACAAGTTCTGTCACCATTTTAAATACAAATACTGGAGATCACTTGTATTTGTTACACAATGGAGAACAAAAATGTTTACAAATCATAAGATTTGAAAAAAAAAAAAAATTGAATTCAAAACCGAACTGTTATATTTCTTGTGAAATGTTATGATTGCCCTCACAGATCATCATTATGTATATCTGTAGTTATTATATACAGGGTTCGTACAGGAATCTTGCTATGAAATGTATGGCCTTTTTAGGGCCTTTCTGAGTAAATTTATTCCAAAAGACAGAAAAAAATGATACTTTTACATAATATTGCACATTTTGGTTTATTATCTAAGTGTTACATCATTAAAGTTTTATGAAACACTTTAAACACTGGTAACACTGTTTGCAAAGTCCATAGAATTTCTGCACGAAGTACGTCGTTATTTTAACAAAGTCATTCAATTTTTTTGTAGCACAGGTGCGATTATCACTTCTCTCGTGCGACTTTAGAGCTGATGCGCCCATTTTCCCAAGAACTATCAGTCTCCTACAAACTATACAGAATGCGTCATATTATGACTCTGCTTTAATAACCCATGGGTAACGGTTAACCCAACTGTGCTGGTACACTGCATACCCAATGTCTGATCTGCCATTTGCTTTTGGTACTCAGAATACGTACATGGAACACCTCTAGAGTTTACCTTGAATATTGCATTACATTAAGCGAATGTTGGCTGTTTCTTTTGAAATCCATGTTAAATAATAAGTAAAAAAATTAACAAAACATAAAGGGAATTTACACGGAAACTATATTTGATGTCTATTACATCAAATTCAAGGCTCATTTTCCAAAATTTAAGGCCTCTTAGTGAAATTTAAGGCCTTTTAAGGCCTTTACACCATTTTCAAGGCTAGGCCTTGTTTTCAGGGCCTTTTCAAGGCCTGTTATAGAACGAATGCCAAGTCTCATTGTAAGACACGTTCATCAAAGTTCCTTTTGTACCCCCTCCCCCCATAGCACATTACATCCTTTTAAAAATCAATTCACTGATCTGATCATTAAGTAAAGATTTCTATTAGAATTTCAGTTATTTTTTCAAAGCCCATACACACAATATCATCTTAATTTTAATCATGATTGATACTACAGTAAAACCTTGTTATACTGCCACCATTTTTGTCCAGAGAAATGTTGGCGTTATAAAGGGGTTTGGCGATAAATTGAGGGAAACGTATAAAGGAATTCTTAAGAAAACAAGGATACAGAACAATGAAATATGTTGGCAGGTCAGAGGAGGTAAATGAAATGAGGGGCATTATATTAACAATAAAATAAAATAACACAAGTAACTTTCCATACATTTTCCAACCTATATCAAATTTTGTATGAAGATCGTGTCAGTAGCAAAAAATACCAAAACCCCAATTGTGTGTATAACTTTTTTTGACTCTATTGATCTTCTTTGTACAGTGTAAAACATAATGTAATTTAATTTGACACAATCGACCTTTCTTCATTTTTAAAAATAACTCATAAATTTTTGTGTGACTTAATCAACAAAGCTACACTGTAACCTTTAGGATCAGAAAACATTGTTTTTTATTGCCGATATCAATAGCCTCGCCAATGTGTCTCCATGCTCCCTCGTCTAATGAAATCTGACATATATAGTTTTATGAAGATTTTTTTTTTAAATTATTGTTCTGCTGTTTGGATGAATGATGGGTAGGTCAACAGTTTTTATCAAACTACAGACTTCTGTCTGATTGGTTTATTTCCCATCTGGCATTCAAAAGAAATAAAAGTCGTCACAAAAACCTACACATATAAAATTTCAAAACAGACATCTAAATATCAGTAATAAAAATCAAATGTATCCTATAACTTATGAAATTATTATAGCAATCAAATTATACTCCATATAAAAACAATCTCACAAACTTGACAATAACTGATCTATCCATAAATATCTATTTGTCTGCGAATCAAAGTTCATCTCGAGTACTGTGAAAGTCAGTAATATCTAGAACAGAAGATTACAAATTTTAATCCAATTTTTCGTTTTGAAATTAGAACTGCAGGCTTACATTGAGAACCAAATATTACAAACAGATATTCCAATATTTATTGATTTTAAGCCTTGGTATAATTCTGGAATAAAATGTAAATGCTGTTAACTTTCATCCTTTATCTGAGACAAAACGTCTCAAAATTGTATTGATTTCCTATAAGGTAATTCTCCATAACTATACTGAACTAAGGTACCGACAAATTCTTGAATAACTTTCAACTGAATTAACTCTGTATTATAAGCTTTTTATTTATTTCAAAATGGATATATCTAATTAAGCATTATTCCAATCCAGAACACTTTTGCTCCAAAATTCTTTGAAAGTTTAAGCTTAAATCCCAGAAAGACAAGACAACACAGCAGTTTGAGAATTCTGCCCAGCAGTTTGAGCATTCTGCCAAGAAATTAGAGCATTCTGCTCAGCAATTTCACCATTCTGTCTAGTAACTTGAGCATTCTGCCAAATAATTTGAGCATTCTGTCTAGTAACTTGAGCATTCTGCCAAAAATTAGAGCATTCTGTCTAGTAATTTGAGCATTCTGCCAAGTAATTAGAGCATTCTGTCTAGGCAGTTTGAGCATTCTGCCTAGTAGTTTGAGAATTCTGCCTAGCAGTTTGAGCATTCTGCCAAGTAATTTGAGCATTCTGCCAAGTAATTAGAGCATTTTGCCAAGTAACTTGAGCATTCTGTCTAGTAACTTGAGCAAACTGCCAAGTAATTTGAGCATTCTGCCAAGTAATTAGAGCATTCTGCCAAGTAATTTGAGCATTCTGCCTAGGCAGTTTGAGCATTCTGCCTAGTAACTACAGCATTCTGTCTAGTAACTTGAGCATTCTGCATAGTAACTTGAGCATTCTGCATAGTAACTTGAGCATTCTGCCAAGTAATTTGAGCATTCTGCCTAATATTTACATTCTGTATGCTTAGACCCATGACAAAAATTACATTCATAAATGCATAACACAGGTGTTCATAGAATCTCAGCACGTGGGAACTGATAGTAACCTGATCACACTGCGTAGTAATACACTACAAAAACTACTCACTCGGAACGACCGACCTAGATGCTTAATTCTTACATCTTAAAATATTATTGAACTGTGCTTTGTGAAATATCCACGTATTCACGTGTCCTGTGCTACAAATAAACATTGAATATGGAACTACATTTTGTTGTGTTATTGTTGTTGACGGTTGCTAAGATCTCTCACGATAGTGTCACATTTCCCCGCGAAAAAACACTGTTCTCGCCACTGCGTTGCACCCGTGTATAAGCAGGAACAAACCCTGTTTATTTGTTTTATTCGTTGTTATATCGATCCACTGAAAGGATTCGTCAATGTAAATATAAGGAATGATATTTATTTTTTCAACATTTATGAGGTCATAACAACAATGGGTTTTTGGACATATTTTACATGAATCGCTAACGCCATTCATTCAATATGTCCATAAACCCATTGTTGTTATGACCTCATAAATGTTGAAAAAATAAAAATCATTCCTTAAGTAAATTGAGCATTCTGCCAAGTAATATGAGCATTCTGCCTAGCAGTTTGAGCATTCTGCCAAGTAATTTGAGCATTCTGCATAGCAGTTTGAGCATTCTGCCAAGTAATTTGAGCATTTTGCCAAGCAGTTTTATCATTCTGTCTAGTAACTTGAGCATTCTGCCAAGTAATTTGAGCATTCTGCCTAGGCAGTTTGAGCATTCTGTCTAGTAACTTGAGCATTCTGCCAAGTAATTAGAGCATTCTGTCTAGGCAGTTTGGGCATTCTGCCTAGTAGTTTGAGAATTCTGCCTAGCAGTTTGAGCATTCTGCCAAGTAACTTGAGCATTCTGTCTAGTAACTTGAGCGTTCTGCCAAGTAATTTGAGCATTCTGCCAAGTAATTTGAGCATTCTGCCTAGCAGTCTGAGCATTCTGTCTAGTAACTTGAGCATTCTGTCTAGTAACTTGAGCATTCTGCCAAGTTATTTTAGCATTCTGTCTAGCAGTTTCAGCATTCTGCCTAGTATCTTGAGCATTCTGACAAGTAATTTGAACATTCTGCCAAACAGTTTGAGCATTCTGCCTAGTAGCTTGAGCACTCTGTCTAGTAACTTGAGCATTCTGCCAAGTAATTTGAGCATTCTGCCAAGTAATTTGAGCATTATGCCTAGTAACTTGAGCATTTTGCCAAGCAGTTTCAGCATTCTGCCTAGTAACTTGAGCATTCTGTCTAGTAACTTGAGCATTTTGCCAAGCAGTTTCAGCATTCTGCTTAGTAACTTGAGCATTCTGCCTAGTAACTTGAGCATTTTGCCAAGCAGTTTCAGCATTCTGCCTAGTAACTTGAGCATTCTGTCTAGTAACTTGAGCATTTTGCCAAGCAGTTTCAGCATTCTGTTTATTGTATCCATGGAGGTATCATCAATGGAAAGTTTGATATAGATTGCAGGGAAACAAAGCAACTTACCATGGCCTTACACCACAGGCATCGCCAGTCTTGTATTTTGAGCACACTGCCACACGTTTTTTCACACACATTACATTTAGCACTAACAGGGAGATTTCCTTCCAGCCACTGGTGTGGCATGGCAATCTGAAAATGAGAAAACAAAATATCAACAAGACTTTCACATTTTCGTAAAACTTAAAATATTCCCATTGAGCAATTGGTGTGTCTGCAAACTACCCTCTCATATCTAAAAAAAAATTCTTATGGCCTTCAAATAGCTAGCCCTGCAAACACTGAAGAGAAACCTAGGAAATGGGTAATAAGTAATATATCTAACTAAGTAATTAATCTAAACATTTGGTCATCCCTCAAGTTTTCTGCAGCTTTTTTCAGGAGTTTGAACATAAAATTGGGATCTCTATCTTTAAATAAAAATTTAACCAAAAGTTTGTGATCAGCAGTATGTTGAAATAATATTGTGAACCATAGAATGTGGCCCTTGACCTTTGACCCTTACCCCATCCTCGTCTTCGATGATGTCTTTGCCTATAGCTGCCAAGGTTGCCCACTTACAGTTGGCTGCGGCCTTCACCGCACACCGTTTATGAGCCTTGAACTTGCACACTGTAACAAACAAAACAAACATTTTAACGTTTTCATTTCTCTCCATTTTGTCATCAGTCTGTCTCTTTTTAATCCTTACCTTTCTATTTTTTTGTTTTGGTCCTTTTTTTCTTTCTTTTATTTTTATCATAATCAAATGTAGACTGAAAGTTGTTATGAGGGACAAATGTTACAGAGGCCGAGGTTATCTAGTTTGAGCCACATGCTTTTTTCATATCCATGCTTTGTGTTGTCTTTTTGGCGCATTTGTTCATTTTCCATCTTTTGATATGATCTAGCCAATAGGAGATCTTGTGCTCTCATTATTTTTTTTCAACAGCATGCAACACTTAATATATTTATTGTGTATAAACACTTATCTTATTTATTGCATAGGAACACATCACCAAGCGAAAGTCACATACTAATTATCTTTGAACATTTTTTCTCTCCAAAAAGTTGAAACGGGAAGGTCATAATGGGTGACATTAGATCTTCTCCCAATGGCTATGAACACTGTCAATGTAAATCCTTATAACTGCTTTGTCAGTAACTAGTGTCACGTCAGCATCTGTAGACTAGATCTAAAACACGGAACTATTTGATGTGGAAGGATCATGTCACAGAGTCGTGATAGGGGTGTTGCTTACGTAATCTACACAGGCTGCCCTTAAGAGCATGGCAGCCTTCCAGTATTGCAGGGCTTTCATGTTCCTCCATATAAGGCGCTAGCTAGCAGTATGGGTCAAGGCCCCAAGACATGACGTCACTATGGCTATGGTCATATAGCTAAAATAGCTGTAACAATTTAGCTGGCTTCATATTCCACTTCACTTTGATCTCAATGTTCAATAATATCAAGAACTTCAATTCAAGTGCTTTTTCATATTTTGCTGTAAATTGTTAAAAAATTGTTTGTTCTTTTATTTTTTACATTTTGGGCCACGTATTAAAGGGAAATAACTTCTTAAAAAGAAACAAATTACACTTGACAGAATTCTGTTTGGTACAAACATTATCAAAAGTAATTAACTGCACAATCAATATATATCCAGTGATGTATTTTTGGCTGATTTTTATCAGTCAGATAAGCTTTTTATAAATTTATAAATATCATTTATATTTGGAAGCAAGAGATCCTGGAGGGATCATCCACCATTTTAAACATCATTGAATGTTGCTGGTTTGTATATTTCTCTATACTCTTCCTGAACTACAGGATATTTTCTCTCCATTTCTCTATTCTCTTCCTGAACTGGAATATTTTCTCTCTATTTCTCTATACTATTTCTGAACTAGGCTGTTTTCTCTCCATTTCTCTATACTATTTCTGAACTAGGCTATTTTCTCTCCGTTTCTCTACTCTTTCTGAACTAGGCTATTTTCTCTCTATTTCTCTATACTCTTTCTGAACTAGGCTATTTTCTCTCCAAACTCTATACTATTTCTGAACTAGGCTATTTTCTTTCTATTTCTCTACTCTCTTCCTGAACTAGGCTATTTTCTTTCCATTTCTCTATATCTACAGTGATTTACAAATCATAAGATTTGATTCTCTATAGTATTTCTGAACTAGGCTATTTTCTTTCTATTTCTCTACTCTCTTCCTGAACTAGGCTATTTTCTTTCCATTTCTCTATTCTCTTCCTGAACTGGAATATTTTCTCTCTATTTCTCTATAGTATTTCTGAACTAGGCTATTTTCTTTCTATTTCTCTATACTGTTCCTTAACTTGACTATTTTCTCTCCATTTCTCTATTCTCTTTCTGAACTAGACTATTTTCTTTCTATTTTTCTACTCTCTTCCTGAACTAGGCTATTTTCTCTCTATATCTCTATACTCTTTCTGAACTAGGCTGTTTTCTCTCCATTTCTCTATTCTCTTCCTGAACTAGGCTATTTTCTCTCCATTTCTCTATTCTCTTCCTGAACTAGGCTGTTTTCTCTCTATTTCTCTATACTCTTTCTGAACTAGGCTGTTTTCTCTCCATTTCTCTATTCTCTTCCTGAACTAGGCTATTTTTTTTCCATTTCTCTATACTCTTTCTGAACTAGGCTGTTTTCTCTCCATTTCTCTATACTCTTCCTGAACTAGGCGGTTTTCTCTCCATTTCTCTATTCTCTTCCTGAACTAGGCTATTTTTTTTTCCATTTCTCTATACTCTTTTTGAACTAGGCTATTTTCCCTCCATTTCTCTATACTCTTTCTGAACTAGGCAGTTTTCTCTTCATTTCTCTATACTCTTCCTGAACTAGGCTATTTTCTCTCCATTTCTCTATTCTCTTTCTGAACTAGGCGGTTTTCTCTCCTTTTCTCTATAATCTTCCTGAACTAGGCTTTTTTCTCTATTTTCTTCCTGAACTAAGCTATTTTCTCTCGATTTCTTTATTCTCTTCCTGAACTAGGCTATTTTCCATTTCTCTATACTCTTTCTGAACTAGGCGGTTTTCTCTCCATTTCTCTATAATCTTCCTGAACTAGGCTATTTTCTCTCCATTTCTCTATACTCTTTCAGAACTAGGCTGTTTTCTCTATATTTCTCTATACTCTTCCTGAACTAGGCTATTTTCTCTCCATTTCTCTATTCTCTTCCTGAACTAGGCTATTTTCTCTCCATTTTTCTACTCTCTTCCTGTTTCCATTTCTCTATAATCTTCCTGAACTAGGCTGTTTTCTCTCCATTTCTCTATACTCTTTCTGAACTAGGCGGTTTTCTCTCCATTTCTCTATTCTCTTCCTGAACTAGGCTATTTTTTTTTTCCATTTCTCTATACTCTTTCTGAACTAGGCTATTTTCCCTCCATTTCTCTATACTCTTTCTGAACTAGGCTGTCGTCTCTTCATTTCTCTATACTCTTCCTGAACTAGGCTATTTTCTCTCCAAACTCTATACTCTTCCTGAACTAGGCTATTTTCTCTATTTTCTTCCTGAACTAAGCTATTTTCTCTCCATTTCTTTATTCTCTTCCTGAACTAGGCTATTTTCCATTTCTCTATAATCTTCCTGAACTAGGCTATTTTCTCTCCATTTCTCTATACTCTTTCTGAACTAGGCTATTTTCTCTTCATTTCTCTATACTCTTCCTGAACTAGGCTATTTTCTCTCCATTTCTCTATTCTCTTCCTGAACTAGGCTATTTTCTCTCCATTTTTCTACTCTCTTCCTGTACAAACCACATGTAGGGATACCAAGATGATCATACAGATAAAGTTAAAACATGATCTTTTGGGGATTTGTCTAAGCTTAATTATGAAATCCATTCCATCCAGGCAATGTATATAGTGACAAAGGAGGTCATGCATACCGATTTAATCAAGATCCCTCCAGCACTTTACAAACAATGGTATGTAAGGCTATGGGTTCAGGATCTTAACCATTTCAAAGTTATGGCCCATAAATTAAGTTCCTAGGGCTAGGGGTAGGGTCAGACCTCAATATCAATCCTTATATCATAATTTTGTTCATCTCTTGATGCCCAGCAATGGTATATATTGTTCTGGGGTGGGCATCACAACCATCTTAAATTTAGACCTAATAATTAAGTCCCTAGGGGTGGGGCCAGACCCAAGAGTCAATTTTAATATCGTGAGTGTGTTCATCTCTTGATGCCCAGCAATTGTATATAAGGTTATGGGATGTGAATCTCAATCGTTTAAAAGTTATGGCTCAGGAATGAAGCTCCAAGGGGTGGGGCCAGACCCAAGGGTCAATAATAATACTGTATTAATCTCTTTATGCCTATCAAATGTATATATGGTTATTGAGTAGGGTTCTTAACCGTTTAAAAGTTACGGCCTAGAAATTAAGTCCCTAGGGGTCGGGCCAGACCCAAGGGTCAATATTATTATCATGATTGTGTTCATCTCATTTTTTCTTAAGACAAAGGTCCCAGGGTTTATTACTGGTGTAATAAAGAAATCTCCCATAAAACAATAGTCCCACAGGGTGCAAAATATACGCTTGTCCCATGCCAATCAGAATCTGACATACTTAAAATCCTTCTGATGCATTATTGTATCTAAATGTATGAAAATATAAGGAGAAGAAACAACATTCCTACATGAGATTTTCCGGCCACCAATCAGAGCACAGTATGCTAATTAGGGATTTTCCTCAAGTTCGAATATAGCCTCAATTATCATAAAATGTACATGTGCATACCAATTTTCATCAAAATTGAACAATATTTAAGGAAGTTAACTTGCGGAAAACCAAAGAGTGGACGGAAGCTCCCAATACCACAATATGTCCTGTCAAAAGTTTTGACGGGCATATAAAAACTTTCGTCACAATTGATTTTCTTTTGCAATTTTTTCTTGCCTAATGAATTAGTCACTGTACATAACAAGCTGCATACTGTAAAATGTATAAAGGATTCAGTTTTTTATGTAGCTTTTAATGTTTTACATAACAGTTATTGTTTGGTGAAGACAGTTTTTTTGTTTGTTCTTCAGACAATTAATAAAAGCTTGAAATGTAAAAAAAAAAAAATAAGAAGGAGAAAAAGAAATTGGGGACAGATACTCAAAAGGTTGTCATGACGCACCTTCACATGATAGTCCATGGGAGGTAACTCCGGACAGTGCCTCACGACAAACATTGCAGTAGGTTGGCCTAGCGTGTGAGCAGGCATACCAGTTGTGCTGACCGGACATCATTTCCCGCTGGCTGGCATTGCCCTGAAACACATGAACATGTTCACCAAACTTTATTTCGGCCTTCAAAATTTTACACAATTTCACATTTACATACTTCAATATGATATTGTCTGGTCACATCGTGTCACCATTGTGAATAAAACGTTAACTGATTTCTACATCACACACAATCCAGCGGAAAAGGGTGTTCAATATCTAAAACAAATGTAATGGGTGGTCGGGTGGTCGGGTGGTCGGGTGGCGCAGTGGGTAACGCACTTGTCCTTCACCAAGGTGGCCGGGGTTCGATTCCCTGATCAGACACAAAAAGGTATGGGGTCACCAGCCCGACCACGTGGGTTTTCTCCAGTTTCCTTCCACATTTAAGATCTCTCACGTTAACATCCTCTAACATCCGGGCCAACAAAATTAATATAAGTTGAAACAACTTATTTAAAAACTGTTGTAAAATAACAAATGATTATGAAGCCTTTGCCATTCGGTAGCATGATCTGAAGCTATACCAAAAGGGCAGCCATTGTTCTCATTCAGGAAGAAGCTTTAGTTTCCAAAATCCTCCATGGTGTCTAGACTGAATTAAGTAAACACATAAAGCCACCAGTCAGTGTTTAGAGATTGTGTCAATTTGTACAACATTTGAGCAAACACAGGTGGTTTATTCATAAAACAGGTTCAATATGATAAGAAAATAAATTTGTGAAAAAACTTTCTTCGTTGGAGATGGAGTATTCAGATAATAAATTACATGAACGTTCATCCCGAATTGCAAACAATTATGATTATTGTTCTATTTTTGGTTAATACTACATAATATCTATACATAGAAAAATGTGAAAAAATGTCTCACTTTAAACTCCAAACAATGGAGCCTTGACAATGTACCGCAACAACCTGTGTCATTTGCACAGGTACGTTTTTAGGGCTTAAAATGCCTAAACAAATTCTACTTATCTATTTTGCACATTAATTTTCACCCTCAAAACGATGTCCAGAATGCCTAGAAAAAATTGACCTCCAGCACAAAACTTTGACACAAATATCTACTTTTTCATATCATTTATTTATTAAGTGTGTTTTTTGTTTATAAATTCAGTGACTTTAGCACACCAACCCTATCATCAGACTGAACACTGGTGTATATCGGCACACACCAACCCTATCATCAGACTGAACACTGGTGTATATCGGCACACACCAACCCTATCATCAGACTGAACACTTGTGTATATCGGCACACACCAACCCTATCATCAGACTGAACACTTGTGTATATCAGCACACACGAACCCTGTTATCAGACTGAACACTTGTGTATATCGGCACACACGAACCCTATCATCAGACTGAACACTTGTGTATATCGGCACACACCAACCCTATCATGGGACTCAATCTAATTAAAATTATATCTTCACATCGCTCCCGTTTACTGATATGTCGCGTTGAAGATCTAACAACATCCCATAGAGGGTCACGTCAGAGGTCAACATGAATGCATTATCGCATTTATAACAAGCCAATCAAAACGCGACATAACTCTGTCATTCAACCAATCAGAAAGCAGGACCTGTACCATTTAATGCGGACACCTCGTAGCCCAAAATCCACTTTTTCGTCTGGTCCAGATATAGTTTGAATATTGCGAAGCCTGTCATAGGTTAATTTTAGTTTCAGGTTGTTAAATTTTTTAACGACAAGATCACCAGAAGAGGAAGTCTCTCTTATTTCAAAGCAAAATCCACAAATTGTGTATATCGGCACACACGAACCCTATTATCAGACTGAACACTTGTGTATATCGGCACACACCAACCCTATCATCAGGATTCCGTTATGAGATAACTATGATAATTAGCCAAACTGTACAGAAAATATGTCAATGTGTCCCTTAAACGCTGCCTGGACAGAGGGACGACCAGATTAATGGTGGCAGGATTAATGGCTCATGATCATTATATTTATAGTATCAATGATCTTGACCTTTGACCTACTGACCAATAAAACAATTCCAAATACATTTCCTGGTCATATGTGACCACTAAAGCAATGAGTAGCCTACATGTACCTCCTGTATACAATTAGTGCATGAACTTTGAGTGTGGTAGGTAGCCCAACAGTTCAATAGCCCCCTTGTTACAGCCCATGGCTGATGGTAGGCATATGTCCAGCATCACAACAATGTCTACCATAAAACACAATCACCTCTCAAACTATAAGATAGCCTTTGTGTTTCTATGTTCTCATTTTGTGCTGATTGAGAAAAAAATTGCTGTTTTCGAAAAGTTACAAAGTGCAAAAATTTTCACACATTTTCAGTACACGGAATATTAACATGTCAATTTTAAAGAAAGAAAATTACATATATGTTATAATTATCTACTAAATTTTAACTTTCCCAAACGCTGTATAAACCAGACCTTCAACTTAACATCTCAATGTGTAAATTTCTCTCTAACCTGTCTATATAATAACCCTGTAAAGTACAGTCACATGTATAAACAAGACCATCCACTTACCATCTCAATGTGTAAATTACTATCTAACCTGTCTATATAAAACCCTGTATAGTACAGTCACCTGTATAAACAAGACCTTCCATGTCTATTTAACATGTCTATACAAAACCCTGTAAAGTACAGTCACCTGTATAAACCAGACCTTCAACTTAATATCTCAATGTGTAAATTACTATCTAACCTGTCTATATCAAACACTGTATAGTACAGTCACCTGTATAAACAAGAACATCCACTTACCATCTCAATGTGTAAATTACTATCTAACCTGTCTATATCAAACCCTGTAAAGTACAGTCACCTAAATAAACAAGACCATCCACTTACCATCTCAATGTGTAAATTACTATCAAACCTGTCTATATCAAACCCTGTAAAGTACAGTCACCTGTATAAACAAGACCATCCACTTACCATCTCAATGTGTAAATTACTATCTAACCTGTCTATATCAAACCATGTATAGTGCAGTCACCTGTATAAACAAGACCTACAACTTAACATCTCAATGTGTAAATTACTATCTAACCTGTCTATATCAAACCATGTATAGTACAGTCACCTGTATAAACAAGACCTACAACTTAACATCTCAATGTGTAAATTACTATCTAACCTGTCTATATCAAGCCATGTATAGTACAGTCACCTGTATAAACAAGACCTACATCTTAACACCTCAGTGTGTAAATTACTATCTAACCTGTCTATATCAAGCCATGTATAGTACAGTCACCTGTATAAACAAGACCTACATCTTAACACCTCAGTGTGTAAATTACTATCTAACCTGTCTATATCAAGCCATGTATAGTACAGTCACCTGTATAAACAAGACCTACAACTTAACATCTCAATGTGTAAATTTCTATCTAACCTGTCTATATCAAACCCTGTAAAGTACAGTCACCTGTATTAACAAGACCATCCACTTACCATCTCAATGTGTAAATTACTATCTAACCTGTCTATATCAAACCCTGTATAGTACAGTCACCTATATAAACAAGACCTTCCATGTATATTTAACCTGTCTATATAAAACCCTGTATAATATAGTCACCTGTATTAACAAGACCATCCACTTACCATCTCAATGTGTAAATTACTATCTAACCTGTCTATATCAATCCCTGTATAGTACAGTCACCTATATAAACAAGACATTCCATGTATATTTAACCTGTCTATATAAAACCCTGTATAGTATAGTCACCTGTATAAACAAGACCATCCACTTACCATCTCAATGTGTAAATTACTATCTAACCTGTCTATATAAAACCCTGTATAGTACAGTCACCTGTATAAATAAGACCTTCCATGTCTATTTAACCTGTCTATATAAAACCCTGTATAGTACAGTCACCTGTATAAACAAGACCTTCCACTTACCATCTCAATGTGTAAATTACTATCTAACCTGTCTATATCAAACCTTGTATAGTACAGTCACCTGTATAAACCAGACCGTCCACTTACCATCTCAATGTGTAAATTACTATTTAACCTGTCTATATAAAACCCTGTATAGTACAGTCACCTGTATAAACAAGACCTTCCATGTATATTTAACCTGTCTATATAAAACCCTGTATAGTACAGTCACTTGTATAAACAAGACCTCCCATGTCTATTTAACCTGTTTATATAAAACCCTGTATAGTACAGTCACCTGTATAAACAAGACCTCAAACTTTATGGCCCAGTGTGTAAATCTCATAATATATCGAGTTTGTGTAATCTGAAATTCTTGCTGTTCTTGATAAGATAATCCAGGAAAGATTCTAATCTATTCGTAAGTCTTTATGTTACATAAGTAGAGGGAATACAGAACACTAGTAATTGCCATATTTGCCAACTCTCCCTATTTAGGAAGGAGACCTCTAATTTAGGACCCTAAAATTCTGCATTTCCAACCAGTGAATTGCAAAACTATATCTATTTCAGTGGCAGATCCAGAGGATAAATAATTTCCTAAGATCTGATGATTTTATCTAGGGTATATATACACACACTTTATCTAGGGTATATATACACACACTTTATCTAGGGTATATATACACACACTTTATCTAGGGTATATATACACACACTTTATCTAGGGTATACATACACACACTTTATCTAGGGTATACATATACACACTTTATCTAGGGTATATATACACACACTTTATATAGGGTATATATACACACACTTTATCTAGGGTATACATACACACACTTTATCTAGGGTATATATACACACACTTTATATAGGGTATATATACACACGCTTTATCTAGGGTATACATACACACACTTTATCTAGGGTATACATACACAAACTTTATCTAGGGTATATATACACACACTTTATCTAGGGTATAGATACACACACTTTATCTAGGGTATACATACACAAACTTTATCTAGGGTATATATACACACACTTTATCTAGGGCATATATACACACACTTTATCTAGGGTATACATACACACACTTTATCTTTGTATTTAATTCTGAGCACGCGTAATCTCCCCCATGGAAATTTCAAAAAGTTGGCAAGTATGAAACGCTGGTTCCTTTGAACCATATACCTACCAAATATTGGCCATATCCCATGTACTGTCCAGTTTCCAAACATTTGAATTGTTTTTGAGGTCACAATCGATAGCTGATAAGACACATCCGTACGACTGACATTACAGGTAAGGGACTCACTTTACAAGTAAGCAATGGAGCTGTGTCTTTGTATACTTCACTTGTACACAGTTTACTACATGTACATACCTGAGTAATGCACTTTAGGGGCACTACCATCCCTCTGTTTACACAGGTAACATAATTACCTGTCACTACCTACCTATCATGTGTCACTTACCGGAGACAATTACACCCCTGATTGATGGATTGACCTAAACAGGGCATACTACCGAGTTGTATCACCTACCACCATGATTACAGGGATTCCATAAAACAGTGGATGATCAGATCTACCAGGTAGACATCTGTTATAAGTAATAATCAACACATGTGTCTGTAGTATGGTGAAGTATATCACCAGGCTGACCAGTCTTAATTAATCATTTATTTCTGTATTTTCAGTTATACCTATTTTACCATATGATACACACAGATGTTGATTATGTTTATTATTCTACGTTGGTGGTAACTGACCAGTCTATATTTAGAAACTAGGTAAACCAACCATTTTCTGTATTCAGTTTCAGGCTTCCACAAGGAAATTTAGACAAAATACTGGGATACTTTAAAATTCGCTGCAGTTGAATTTTTGCCTTTTTTGTCCTTTGTAATGAGGGCGAATTTATCATTACAGCAAAGGTTTGTAAACAACATAATATATATACATGTAGTAATTAACTGTGAGGGGCAAATTTAATATTGGGCAAAAATGGATTTTACCGTTGAAGGGTGAAAATTTGACTGGGCAGAAATTTTCCGGTATACGCAGTATCCATAAAGAGAAGCTGTAAATTTCAATGTTTCGCTGACTAAGTACTTTTACAAATCGACTTTCTTGACAGACAAGTGCTTCTGAAAACTCCATTCTTGTCCTGTCATGCACATGACACGAAAGTGTTTGCACCTCTGATTTAACCTGCGTCATCTTGGACCGATCAGTAAGGTGATATATAAACCTATAATTCCCCCTAGAAAGTGTTTCTATAATGCTTGAACCATGCCGTGGAGTTTTTCGGATACTCCAATTGACATAACCTTAAACCAGCTAGACGATCCCATTCATCCTGTCAAATTATTTTATCATTTCAACGAAACCTACAAACGTTGAGAGCTTGAACACGATTCTATTGTTTACATCTACATGTAAATACTGTCAAACACCCTGCACATCATGTCGTACTGGTCAGGTGTTATCTTTTGTTACGATGACAATCGTCGAAATTTGCATATAGGAAAATTGCCTGTGATTGTTTGTATATCCTGTGTTTAGCGATTCTATATAAATGTTAATACTGATGTCAGTAGTCAAGATAACACAGACCAATTCCTCGGTGTAAAACAAAGTATATTTCTGGAAACGTATTAACTCCAGCAGACATTCTGCATCATACCATTCATTTTCATTTCGACATTTGCCATATTGAAATCTGTAAATGTGATTGATCTTAATCTCAAAAATGTATGCATACGTGATAGCTGACCTTGGCGTGTCAGTCTCCAAATCACTCACGGAGAAGGGAGAAGTTAAACAAAAATACTCTTTTAGGGTGTTTTTTTTGCTGATACACTGGCAAGCATAATTTACCTCAGCATCCTGTTCACAGCTTTTCAATCAGTCACTGACAAAAGGAAGGGCAAGAAAAACATGCCATTTTTCAGCATGGAGCCAACTTGAATCTGATAACATATGTTTAGAATGAGCAGTAATAACAAACGGTGCCGAGCTCACACCCTGTACAGTTCACTACGATTCAGTGCCTTCCCAAGACTGTCGAGAATGTATGGAACATCTCACCCTTATCCTCATGTGATAAAGCCTGGAGAGGAATTCCTATGCTACTGTAGCCGTATATTGTAATCAAAATTAATCACAAGCACTAAAAACACGCTGAAAAAATTAGCCAACAGGTGATAACTTCACAATAGTCTTCATATTTACGGAGTTAACATGAAATAGCTTGAGGAAGCAATTTTTGAAGTTTTTAATTTTGTTCTGCGTACCGTTCTTGAACTATTCTCTGGGGGGGTTTCCGGAATTCAAACAAAATTTGTTTACAGTAAGAGGATTGTAAGACTCTGAGTCTAAAGGACTCAAACCTTCAACAGCTTTAAGACAAATCTGGCTTTTATTTTGAAGACCAAAACGTACAATTTAGCAAACAAATTATACATCAAACAAGAACACAACAGGCATAATTTGCCCCACAAAGCAGGAGTGTGACCTTTGACCCTTTACCCTTGACCACCAGAATCTAATCAGGCGTAGAACTTGATGTTACCATGCTATGTATCATACTATGATAATTAAGGTTCATGAGATGCAACGACAAAGTAATTACTAGGTACCTCCTTCCGTTAAGTTGGAGGACTGAAAAAAACCTGACAAATTTTGGTATGCACAATAAAAGTCATAATTTCTCTTCGGTTAAATATTTGCAATGTAATGAATTCACTGAATACACATTGAGACAGGCAGCTTTTATTGTGTCCTGAGTTTTACTGGAAAGAACACTGAGAACAATAACGGTTCTCTATGGAATATCGGGTCTTCACTGGATCATTGTACTAAATACAATGTAGAGTTGGCCGAGCCAAAGAATCGTTGACATTCCAGTTAATTAATTAGAAATAATTGGGCAAAAGTGGTTTCTGTCCATATACCAGCAAAGACAGATTGAGACAACAAAACGGAATACAGCCCCCATCTCCTCCCTATCATCCTGCCACAGTTGGAGAACTGCAGCCCTTATAAAAGTACAATGATGGGGTCAAGTTGAGTGCAAACTGATGTGATAAATGTTGCGTGGGTATGATGAAAGGCCCATACAGAGAGTCACTTACTCTCACATCGTAGAACTCCTTGTTGGCGGCGGTTTTCAATGCGGAGATCCAGTCTTCCATCTCCCGTCGACTCTCTGTACACAGCACCAGCGACCTGAACGGTGTTATCACCTGCAAAGACAAATAAGTATTTAGCAATTTGCATTGTATTTTAGACAGTCGGCACACTTACAGAGGATATATTCGGTTAATTCATGCTGCCAAAAAAAAGTAACATTCTAACATTTGCAAAAATGTTTTACAAAAAATCTGAAAATTCTAATATTTGTCTTCAAGATCAGCTTAATCTGAATAGACCTATGTGAAGACCTCTTGACAGTTCTGTATTCATACTAAATGATTAAACAGCACAGATTAAAAGCTTTTCATGTTAAACACGGGAGTACACACTTACCCGTAGAGGTATACCAGCATATACTAGCCCTGTGAGAGACAAACTTTCCTATTGTTCTAACAGTCATTGCTCCAGTCACATGACTCTCATGTGAATTCTGAAGGATTCTATAAATATCTTGATGTGTACATTTCATTTCCTTATCAAATTTCAATCACACATGTTAATTTTATTTTCATTGTAAGAAGTAGTAAGTACTGTGACATCTATTGATATTAAATTCTGTCTACAGAGGACCTTTCCACCCACTCAAATATTCATAATTTGCTGATAAAATCCATATCTGCCTTGTGTTAATTTCGCTCTTCATGTGTAATTACTATATATTGTATATAGAGCACAAATATTAAACCCTTTCACCACTGTAGACCGAAAAGGACTCATCCAAACCAATGCATGGTAGAGTCGACTAAAGTTACATAGGGGTGAAAGGGTTAAGGGAACCTGTTTCATAAAGGTTTTACACACACAGAACTGTGTATTATAAAGAATTTAAACAGACCCTGTACTACATGTATAAGACATTTATCCAAACCCTGTATTTTACATGGTATAAAACAAAACAGCACATTTCTGTTTTCATTATCAACATCAAATAATTAATTTTCAAAAAAAATTGAAGTTAAAGAGATATAAATGCCTTTAATATTTGGACAACACAAAAAAATGGATCTGTGAAAAGCGTTTACACACCGAGAGTTTTGATATATGTTCCCTAGCTAATGTGGGTTTGGTGAAACGTGGGTACCCCTAACTACATGGACAAGATTGTGTTACCAACTGGTGGAAATGACGTAACACTACAGTTAACAATAATACATAACATGAGTAGAATTAAGACATTGACAAACGAGCTACAGAATCTGATGTAATTAGCATTCCTGCCCTGTAATTACTCTTCATCTGATGTAATTAGCATTCCTGCCCTGTAATTACTCTTCATCTCATGGAATTAGCATTCCTGCCCTGTAATTACTCTTCATCTGATGTAATTAGCATTCCTGCCCTGTAATTACTCTTCATCTGATGTAATTAGCATTCCTGTCTTGTAATTACTCTTCATCTGATATAATTAGCATTCCTGCCCTGTAATATTACTCTTCATCTGATGTAATTAGCATTCCTGCCCTGAAATTACTCTTAATGCTTCGTTCCAAACTCTGTAACTATCAACGGAATGAAGTCTTAAAACAAACAAAAACAAAACGAAAATCAAAATCTGGTTGTTGTTAAAATGGACTTCCATAATATTTGGAAATGTAACTGTTGAGTTTAGGTAATTAAATAGGAATTAGCATATTGACACTGTTTTTACTTTTCTTCCTGATATAAATCTCAAAAACATATATCATCTAAGAAAGCAATACAGTTTATTCATTACAAACTGTTGTGAACTAATTTTGGTTCCCTTGAATTCATTATAAACCTTTATTGGAGAATTTCTTACAAAACAGAGATAGATACTGCAGTTATGATCAACTTTGATGGTTGAGCTGTTTAAGTAATAGAAAGAACTTACATCTTTAATATTTTCTCTTTTTAGGAAAACATTTAAGGTGTTCCAGACCTTTTGATTCTTTACAAATCAAATGACAGAAATCAAATCAAATCGTCGGTCCTAGCCAATATATGTCACAAGATTACGGCGCGAGACACCATCAAACACTGTAAAACAGATGGAAGTTTTTAAAGTTGTTTACAGGACTTTANCGCCCCGCCCCACCCTGCCCCGCCCCTCTTCCATGCATGGGGGTAGGATGGGGTTGGCTGCCTGGTAATATGCCTATTTCCCCTTTTCTGTGTTAAACACTTAGGAATAATGTGTATATATTTGTTACTTTTTTTTTCATGTAATCATTAAAATTTACATCACTACATAATAGTAAATTACACGTAAATCTGTAGCAGAAAATTGTTCCCCCAAAACACAGACCAAACGTAACATACTTAATAGCTTCAAAAACAGACTTAATGATTACTGGAACGAAGTAAAATAGAACATCTTCAAAAGGGACAATACGTGTAACAATCGGAAGTGAAATACAAAATTATAATAATAACACTTATGAGTCCAGTTAAGAGGATCCTTGGAATGGAACCTGGGCTGGAAAAGTAAATCATTAATTATTTTTATTTCTATATTTAATTATTGATTGGGGAGGTGAATTGGAAGTGGGGTGGGCCACTGGAAGTGGATGGGGGGAGGTGATGATATCTTTCAACGTAACAGTTTATTGTCATGTTTTCGGAACATTCACTGCAGACATTTGGGTCATGATAGATGAAACGAATTTGTGTCAGTTAAGAGACGAAAAAACAATTTCAAGGAAATAATGATTCTGGGAATACCAATTTATCAATGGTATGATAGTAAGAGAGGCCTGCACACTTGGGAGCCTGGTGACCTTTAGAAAAGTAATTTCCTCGAATCATAATCAATGGTTTCCCACAATCTGGATCTGTTGGGTACCCAGAGGTCATAAAAACACACTAAAACACTGTCTATGTAATGACTTATTCATGGCTCTGATTCTGTAATAATTTCCATCCCTCTTCAGTAGTATTAGCGTATATGATGCGAGATTATCGACCTCTGGGATATCATCCCATACTGTTATAGGTTTCCTGCTAAATATAGCCACACCAATGGCTGTGTTATTCTAACTACCTGTCACCCGGCCTGTTACTCCAGAGAATTATATCAATCGTACCTAGAGCGATAAAAAACACCTATATTATTCTGTCCAAAATCCTGATCACCAACATTTTACAGGTTGTGAAAATGCCACTGAATTGTAGACCAGGCATTTGTTGTTTCCATTAAACTGAAAAGTATTTAACATTGCAATGATTTCATTACTATGTTTTGCTGGCATTATCTCAGATAATAGCGCTGGCCAATTTGTCCTTGTGTAATTACAGTGTAAATCAGAGGGGCAAGGCACAGACTAGCCCCCACCCCCTATAGGCTCATACATAAGTGGACAACAAGTATTGGGAGGTCTGTGTTTGATAAATCTCATATATTGTTAAGACAGGCAACCAGGATTCTGGATTATACAGGGTTTAGACAAGACACGTAATGTGGATTATACAGGGTCTAGTTTATACAGGTCAAACATACTTCTAGATTATACAGGTTTTAGTTTAGACAGTTAACAAAGTGGGTTATACAGGATCTGTTTACACAGGTCATACAGAATTCTTGATTATACAGGATCTGTTTATACAGGTCAGATTTCTGGATTATATATAGGGTTTAGATTAGACAGGTAACAAAGTGGAATATACAGGGTCTGTTCATACAGGTCTTGCAGAATTCTGGATGATACAAGGTTTAGATTAGTCAGTTTACAAAGGAGCCTGATTACACAGGGTCCAATATGGACAGGTTACACCCTGAACTACACAGTGGACAGCTACAGTGATTTTATATATGGACAGGTTACACCCTGAACTACACAGTGGACAGCTACAGTGGTTTTATATATGGACAGGTTACACCCTGAACTACACAGTGGACAGCTACAGTGGTTTTATATATGGACAGGTTACACCCTGAACTACACAGTGGACAGCTACAGTGGTTTTATATATGGACAGGTTACACCCTGAACTACACAGTGGACAGCTACAGTGGTTTTATATATGGACAGGTTACACCCTGAACTACACAGTGGACAGCTACAGTGGTTTTATATATGGACAGGTTACACCCTGAACTACACAGTGGACAGCTACAGTGGTTTTATATATGGACAGGTTACACCCTGAACTACACAGTGGACAGCTACAGTGGTTTTATATATGGACAGGTTACACCCTGAACTACACAGTGGACAGCTACAGTGGTTTTATATATGGACAGGTTACACCCTGAACTACACAGTGGACAGCTACAGTGGTTTTATATATGGACAGGTTACACCCTGAACTACACAGTGGACAGCTACAGTGGTTTTATATATGGACAGGTTACACCCTGAACTACACAGTGGACAGCTACAGTGGTTTTATATATGGACAGGTTACACCCTGAACTACACAGTGGACAGCTACAGTGGTTTTATATATGGACAGGTTACACCCTGAACTACACAGTGGACAGCTACAGTGGTTTTATATATGGACAGGTTACACCCTGAACTACACAGTGGACAGCTACAGTGGTTTTATATATGGACAGGTTACACCCTGAACTACACAGTGGACAGCTACAGTGGTTTTATATATGGACAGGTTACACCCTGAACTACACAGTGGACAGCTACAGTGGTTTTATATATGGACAGGTTACACCCTGAACTACACAGTGGACAGCTACAGTGGTTTTATATATGGACAGGTTACACCCTGAACTACACAGTGGACAGCTACAGTGGTTTTATATATGGACAGGTTACACCCTGAACTACACAGTGGACAGCTACAGTGGTTTTATATATGGACAGGTTACACCCTGAACTACACAGTGGACAGCTACAGTGGTTTTATATATGGACAGGTTACACCCTGAACTACACAGTGGACAGCTACAGTGGTTTTATATATGGACAGGTTACACCCTGAACTACACAGTGGACAGCTACAGTGGTTTTATATATGGACAGGTTACACCCTGAACTACACAGTGGACAGCTACAGTGGTTTTATATATGGACAGGTTACACCCTGAACTACACAGTGGACAGCTACAGTGGTTTTATATATGGACAGG